TCAGCGGCTCGTCTCTGGGGCTCCGCGAGCTCATGGGCTGCGACGACCGTGTCATGTACCTGATTTCGGAGATCACCTGTCTGGACGCCCTTAAGAGAGACGGCAGAATCGATGAGATGGGCGTGTGTTCGCATGTCTCGGCTCTGGGACAGCAACTAGAGTTCACCGAACCCGTCAATCAGACGCTCGAAAGCCCTTTCTTACCGAACGGAGCCTTTTCTCCCGAGATCCTCACCAAGAACATCACGGCCGCTTTCCGCCTCGCCGCAAGAATCTACTTGTGCAGTCTGGTCCCGGGGTTTGACCGAAACCAACCGAGCACCGTCAATCTGGTCGCCGCTGTTGCCAATGTTCTCTATGTTATCCCTTCGGGCCCCGAAGGCTTCGATCGCTCGCTCGTTTGGCCGATTCTGATCGCCGGAGCATACTCAGCACCCGATAGCCACTTCCGCACCGTCCTCGCCGATCGAGCTGCTGCTCTTGGCGAGCATGCCGAACTCGGTAGCTTTGGCCGTATGTACCGCGTCCTGAAGGAGGTATGGCGTGTGTCTGATGAGTCCATCGAACCCATCGAGCCGGTCGAGACCGTCGAACCTGTCGAATCCGCTTCTGCCCCGGAAGAGCGACGGTCCTCATCCGCCTCCTCATGCTCCGACGCGCCGGTGAAGGCCGAGGGCTCTGAGTCTCCCAAGGAGAGCCTCGTGCCATGGGGAGCGAAGGAGATGAAAAAGCCATTCCTACACTGGCGGGAGATCATGCAACAGAATGGCTGGGACTACCTTCTTCTCTAAACTTTTGTTTCCTTGATTGCATTTTATGCGCATCTGTTAATATCCCTTGAAGGGACCGATCATACAAGCTGGCTTGGATATTGCATAACCAACCTGGAGACTCGCGGATCCGGTCCTACCAGGGCGACAAGCACGAACAATTCGAACAGGCAACACGACTGGACGTCGTCCTGGGGTTCCTTCTTGAGGAGGCCCCTTCTGCCTGTTTGCAATTATGTTTCTTACTTTTCCGGCAAAAGTCCAGGCCTTATAGACACTATTGGTTCGGACCAGAACTTTTGGCTCTCCGTTTTATTCTTTCGCTACAATATACCCGGCTGTCTCATATCCGCAGGCCGGAGCGATGACATGCCATGTCTTTTCTCATGAGGTGGAGCGGGAATAACCGCACGGCGCTGACAGTCATATCCCATACCCCTTGGCCGGCGCATTGGAGCAGGAGTTTGGTTGTTTTCGCATGACAAATATTACAAACCCATATATGTTGATGTTCTCATGTTCGGTATGATTTATTGATTGCATGTGTTGCTGATACATTGTATCTTGCTTTATTTGGGATTGGTTAGTTGTATGATCAGACCATATGTCTTGGTTCAAAAACAAAAATTGTCACTCCTTATACCTCAGATGATTCAGTCATAAGCCTGATTTTATAGTAAATGCTGCCTCAGATACGAAAGTATATGCGACGTGCTTTTTGTCGCTTCATGGAAGGACCCTTACTCATTTGACAGTCTCTTCAGCTCACTCCGTTTACAGTACTCAAGATCACCCCTAGGTATGAAGCCAAAGATACGCTAATTTGACAAACAAAGCATGGGTCTATCATTATAACTTTATTGGAAGTTGAACGGACCCAAGAAGCAAAAATAACCGACTAGCATACATTTTGCACGTGACTTGCACTTGTTGGGGATCGCTATTCCCCTGATGCGCTGACTCTTGTACCCATCATTTCACGCCAAGATGTCTTGACGAATATACTCATTTGAAAACCCTCCTCTCATACTCGAGAGCTTCAAGCTCAGTGCAATCAAAGGTCCTTTCAAATTCCTTTTCCTCAATGACTCTTGCAAGATGCTGTCATATCTCTGGCGATTTTTTTCGCCAGCACTGACTGCACTGCGCTACTTCGGCTATCTTGGTTATCGCGCATTCGGTTTCTTATCTCATTTATTTCCGCTATCCATCGGATATCACCCGCCTCAATCTGGAAAACTTGACGATCTTGAGGCGGCTAGTCATCCGGCTGGTGATGATGATACCTCAACATCGCACTGCGAGACGTACACTCTACAATTGCACCCTCAACACGACTTGAAAGTCATTGAAATTGGATCTTCTTTTCAGATCTACGAAGTGAGTGACGACATATTTCTCAAATCACCCTTATTATATGTACCACCTGAAAACAATGCCTCTGAGCGCGCCCAACAACACTACGCCTCCAACACCCTCTCTCAGATGAACCAATTACAAAACGAACGAAGTGTCCTACAACTACTTCAAAACCAAACACACCCTCACATCATAGAAGCAATTGATACCCACTATCCAGAGGGCATCTACCTCCGCAAATACCACCCATTATCCGAGGATAATCTCCCCCCTCAACGTCAGCGAATTCGCTGGTACCGCGATCTCACTCATGCACTATGCCATATCCACAGCTTTGGCATCGTGCACGCAAATGTCCGGATGGACAGTATTTCTCTAGATGACCACGACCGTGTGATTCTCTCTGACTTTGGCACCGCCAGCCCTATTGGTGCGCCAAATGATGTTTCTCCGATAAACGGCCCTTCGCCGACTTTATCTGAAAAAACGGATATATTCGCCATGGGGTCGCTGATATATCAAATGGAACATGGTGCTAAGCTTGACCTGTCTGTGGACAGTCATGGTACGTTAGTCCTGCCGAGTATACACACCGGCCGGCCTATGCTTGATAGTATTATTCGAGATGCCTGGCTGGGTGGTTATGGCCGTACTGTGGAGATGTTACAGCGGATTGAGGCTATTGATACTATCGGTGATAGTCCTGCTCAGGGTCTTCAAAGTCAATTTATATCAACAAGAGAATTGAGAAGTCGTGTCCGGGAATGGAGGGACGGTCGTGAGGATAGATTTGGTGAGTAGGATAATACCCTTGCGATGTCTTACGTTTCACCCTTAGCTGATTAATATGCATCTATAGGCAGTGTTCTCAATGGTGTTGTACTCTCCGAAGACCATTTGCAGAGCCTAGCTGACCGGTATGGATTGGATAGAGGTGCAGGTTTACGATTTTGATTATCGAGATATACTTTTTTGTAGATAAGATAATAGTAAATACGTATATCACTATAAGTCATAGTTCAACGGCCTAAGAGCTTAGACGTACAATGCCCGAAACATCAGACCTAGTGAGTAATTCTCTTCTTTCTCTCCTTCTCCTCTTTCTCTTCAAGCTATCCAGTACACGCAGCTCGGTGTCAAGATCGTGAGAGAGAGGGTGGGTAGATGAGGCCTTCAGGCAAGAAGAAGCCCCCTTTAGTGTCCTTAATCGTGCGTCTATCTTCCTTTTGATTTTAAGAGTGAGCTGTTCAGTCTACAGAGCCTGGGCGTGTTGTCACATATGTTGGACCCCATATCAATTCGGATAGGTCCCTTTCTTCCCTTCTTATCTTCTCGCAATTCGATTACCTCTACGCCATCATACTCGCACAGGAATAATCTAGAGACATACGCTGAATAGTCGCAGCAATGGGTTGGAAGTCAAGTGGACATGTGTGGTCTGAAGAACTCGAAGGAGAGGGGGCACGCTCATCCAGAAGTGCTGTCTGTTAGTCGAGGTTATCTTGTTACGTCAGTTTGCACGAGTTGATTGTGAAGGAAAGCTAGTAGAAGAGGTCAAGGGCTGTTGCCTTATGAGATTTATCCGGTGGATATAGAATAGTAGTAAGCTAGGACAGTGAGCGGTCTAGTACTGGTCTACCATTGAGTGGAAAAAATAACCAGGGGATGACTGTTCTGACCTCTAAAGCGTTCATTTCTCGTGGAGAGAAGGATATCAGTCGGCGGTTATACCTTTGCGGTATGAGACATCTGCGTTGAGTCATTCGTGTTCCTACTGATTGACGGTCTAGCCACGGCGCTCAACGATGGTGTGCATGTGGTGCGTTGGGAATCCTGTCATGTCCTGGTCGATTAGTTACCATAGCGGTTAGGTTTGAAGTGATTGGATTATTTTGAGTTAGGCTTAAGACTGGAGTGCGAGCTGTCGGTCTGAGAGGCGGCGCAGGTGATAAGCTTATGACTTGACTTCTGGATGTTGGTGGTTGGTAAACGTTACATCACAGATGTGGTGGACCCTTAGAGAGAGTTCTATGGAGGAGCATCCGGCTGGCAATAGTAAATGGTAAGTCCGCAACCCCGCCGATGGGTCAATGGCAAGTCTGGGAATGGTTTGGTGTAGGTGTCCCTGTAAATCTTTGACGAGTTGTCGACAATCCTGCTCGTTGCGGGACATGAAGTAAGCGCTGTGGGTGACAACTGCAGTCTGAGCGACCCCAATGCGAATGCTTTTCTGCAATAATACCATGTGAGTATTCGAGTGTGGCACTACGTCCCACGGAAGTCAAAAAACAGAGACGCTGTGGCGTAACCGACAATGATGATGGCGCTTCCGTGCTCTGATCCTCTGCAGCGTTACTTTGCACCGACATGAAGTGCTGGGCCCAAGCTCTGGCGCTGTTAGTGACTAGTAAACTGTACCTTTATCCAAGCAACCAACAACAGGACTGTCTCCGTCCTTGGAAGCAGATCCCTCATCGATCTGTAAACCCAGGATAGTAGTCTAAACCAACAAGGTATCAACGTGTCGACTACTGGATATCGTGCCGTTTCCAGGCCGGCTTGCAATGCAGTTACTATAATCCCGCGCCGTTGGATGCACAGAGCGTCTGAGCATAAAGAGGGGTTCACACGCAGCCATATCCACAGGCTACCCGTAGCCAACCGATCGCATCGATGGCAAGCCAGGTTCTGCAAGTGCTGGTGTGACATGGCCGCAGGAACGCCAAGGTGTGGTAGTAGCAACATTGCAGGCAAGTCGAGATCAGTCACAAACCCCGCGCCTGCAACCCGCTATCTCATGGCCACGAGAAACCTCACTAGTCGGATGGGCCCGCTGATTCGTAGAATGGTGAAGAGACGTGAAGACACCAGCATGACTTGCAGCCGCCCGATAGATTAAGTGCCGACGAAATAAGGTAGAGAGACAAGCAGCATCGGCAGATTGGCCCAGCTGCCAGAGTAGAATAACAATGAAATTGAAGGATGCAACAAGCAGCGCTAATCGCAGCACGCAATAGGTGTTCTGAAGCCATGGCTTGTGCAGAAGTTGGGGTTGCGGATGGGCGAGCCGCCCTCTTGCCGGAAGGTGGGCTTGCGCGTTAACGCTGAGCGAACCAGGAGGGGCCAACGCACATCTTCGAGCCGGAGAGATCGTGAGGAGTCAAGAAATGAGTGCCGTCCCGGCGATAAGGGCATGTTGTATTTGCAGGATGCATTTGTGTTTGGGAACAATGACAGGGTAACGGAGACTTTGACTCGAGGTACCAGGCGCGAAACTTCCTGGAGGATTTGACTTGTTGGACTGTTGGATTCCCACAGTGGACAGACAGACCAGCGACTCTATATCCTTGAGCGAAGGTATAAGAAGGAGGAAGTCGATGCAGTTCAATATCCATCCAAACAGCAGCAGCACCAACACTTACTTTCCTCATTCTCTCCTCCACATTGATCACTGCCGGACAAGCAGGCACGGCAAGCGCCTTACCCGATCCCCTCATCCACACCCTGACACTCCACACACCCTCAGCTCTGCCGTGCTCCTGGCGGCCAAAGATCGCCACCATCCGACTCGGTGCTTTTGGAGAGAAGGCGAGGCTTTGGCGCCGAGTTGCTGAAAGGAGCTGAGCGTTTAGCCCGCTTTGGGGTTAGCGTGTCACACGGTATCTTACTGTCTGGTAACTTTACCGTGTCAGACCGCAATACCCGTACCGTACAGGAAATCCATCTGCCTTTGCGTCGGCGTCAACTCGAGATAAATAATCTTCCTCCACTTCCCTCCCTCTACTTTTTCTCTCCTTTTTTTCTCCTTGCGCGCTAGAGCAGCCGAAGGGTCTTCCATCTGTCCTTACTATATAGCTTCGTGCTTGCTGTCATCCTGGTGGACAATACCTGCCCTACCTTCAAGTCCCTTGCTGCCTCAGGCTTGCCGCTGCCTACATCTGCCTCTACTATACTATACCACGCTTCCCTTCTACTGCCACGCACAACGTGACCAGCTCAGGCGCGACCTTGTGATTCACCAGTCATCTGCTGTGGTCGTGTCATATATAAACAGTCTACCTCGTGCAGTCTTCTCATACACCACCTCAAATCTACCGTCACAATGCCTGCCAAACCAATCCTCCATCCGTTGCGGACGCCCAAGAACATGACGTTCCCCTCGGAACTGCAACCAGACAATGGAGTGAGGCTAGGCGCTCCAGGAAAGCAACAAGATGAGAGTCTCTCAACACCTATCACACCTCCCGCTGCATACACCGAATTCCTCAAATCATTCACACCCGTCTTCACCCCGGATGGCAACGGAGGTACCGTCACCCGCTTCGTCTGGGACAAGGCCAACAAGACCCCTACATCCCAACCAGCCAGCGCAGTCAGTGGTTCATTCAGCTTCCCCGAACCAACCAGACCAGCTACAGCAACATTACCCCCTCCGTCACCCTATGGAAGTGCACCGCACGGTCGTGACATGATGAGTCTGCGTCGTTTGCGCATCCCGCCGCCAATGCGGTATTCACCTACGCTGGAGACGCCGCGCAGTGCGACGACGCCCGTCCTATCACCGTACTCTTACTCGTACTCCCCGGCCGATTGGAAGATGCGCTACTGGGATGGTCCCCGGAGTGCAACGGTGGGGAGAGTCAGCGTGCGTCATGTCGTCACTCACACGGTGACGTATAAGCGGACGCAACTTGAGGATCCGCCCAAGGGGAAACGGAGAAAGCATAACGAGACAAAGCAGGAGGAGGAGGAAGAAGAAGAAGATGCCAAAACAGGAATTTAGCTCGACTCACGATTTCCTTTTTACTGTTGTTTTCTCTATGGTCATGGTACTAGCGCAGGGTCCGGCGTTAGGAGTTAGGAGGCGGGGGGAAGAAGCAAGCGAGAATATTTTATTATCAGTTTTGTTCGGAGCAAGCAGTGCGATTTGAAATTCATTTCTCTTCCTCACTTCACACACTTCATGTGATCGATCAGTAAGCCATGTAGCATTGCTAGTAGGCAAGTAAAGAATGGTAAACTGGTACTTACAGGGTTGATTCATGTGTATGCGTTGGCAATATACTAAGCAGGGTATATAACGCCCAGCAGAGGCTCGACCACGACCACAACCACAACCACAACGGAGTACTACGATCCCCACCATTGAGATCTATCAATTTCAATTCCAATAATCTATTCCAATTGTAAACGAACCCAGTCCCTCGTGCTTCTGGTCAGAGCCTCACTCACACTAACACCCACATGAAATCAATCGGGGCCCAACCCCTCATTTCAATGCACTTCCGGTTCCCAAGCAAATATCCCACTGAACTCACCACCAAGCAATGATGTTATACACAGGCTCATACATACAACGCACAGACAGAGAAGACAGTAACCCAACGAACCCCTCTTTTCTTTCTCCCACTCAATCATACTAATAGTAACTTAAGTACGAATGAAGGGTAACCCCCTCCAATTCCACCACGTGTACCCAGACCCATCTACCCTACCCACTGGAATCACAATACTAAGCGATAGCTCCACTAGAATCTACGCAATTTCCGAGCTGATAGGAACGGCTGAGATAGGCTGATATGCGCGGTGCTGCGCCGCATTGAATGTTTTTTGTTTTTCTCCTTGTCTATCGGGATTGGGCTACTGGGTTGGTTGGGTTGATTTGTACCCGGGGATATGGTAACGGGGATGATTGGTGTGGGTTGGGTTGGGTTTGCTGGTCGGAGAATTACTAGTTAGTTAGTTAGTTGGTTAGTTAGGCTTTGGGCTAAAGGGGGAGAGGGTTTGGCGCGGTGAGGGGGGTGGTTGGTGAGTGCACAGGCGCGGTGTGGATTTACTTGAGTTGGAGGGGTAAGTAGTAGTATCAGAGTGTAGAGGATATTGGGATTGTAGTTATAGATTGTGGTGTTGTAGAGAGAGGGATTGTTGGATAGATGGTAGTAACTAACTATACTATGTGGTATGTATGTAAGTAGTGGAGGTGATTGAGCTGGGAAAGGGTGTAGATGTGGATGTGTGATGTGATGATGATGTGACTTCAAGTAAATAGAGAGTTTGAGAGTCTTTGTATATCACCATCACGGTAGTAATACTTCATAAGGATTGATGTAGAACAAAGTAACAGACAGACAGACAGACAGACAGACACAGTCCTATAAATAAATTACACAGTTACTACCACCGTAACAAGCCCTACGTAACGCACCACCACCCACCATACCAATACTAATACCATACATACAATACCGACAAAACCCATCATCTATCTTCCTGGCGGCAACAACAACCCTACATCCTACCCTCACTCCCTCACTCCCTCCTAACACAGTAATCAATCTCAAGTACCTACTACTAGGTTACTTACTCTAGTATGCATTCCATCGCTTATCCCCAACGAATCACAACGATGTGAACAGCCTGCTGTGATCTAGGACGGGTGCATCTCGACCCATGATTGGATGACAAGGCGCGCTCTTTGTTTCATCTTGTTGCTGAAGAATTGCGGGTCGGGGTGATTGGCCTGCTTTGGATGGTTCTAGTGGGGAATAAGGATGGGATGGGGGCAGTGATGGACGGAGGTGATTACTTTCTAGGTAATAGGGTCGGTAGTTATTTACTTTGATTCTAGGGGGTGTTCGAAGGGCTTCTAGATTGATTGGTTTTGGGTAGTTTGTGGGTTACTGGGATTATACTAAGTACCCTATTAGGTGTAAGATTATAGGGTAGGGGATTGTTGGCAGTGGCAATTAGTAGAGAGATAGTAGCTGAATCCCTGGTAGGAGTACAATGTAACTGTGAGTCGGGTGTACTTCAGCCTCATGACTCTTCTTCTGTGGTTACTTGGGAGTAAGTAGTAGTCACTGCAGACTGCGACTTCATTGCACAGACCGTATAGACAGACACAGACACATCCGGCGCGTCCGCGTCCAGCTAGTAGAGTGTCTGACTTCTCCCCTTCAATTGATTTGATACAAAGATAAAGTGGCCGCTGCAGTTAAGCGCCGGCACTAAGCCCGATGGGGCCGCAGTGGACCTTTCCCCTCTTCTATCTGTCAAGATGATTGGCGAGATGGTATAAGAGGGATGTGTGGGGGGTGGAGATGACGTGTGGATAGTAATTACTTACTACGTAGTCAGTAGTAGATACTACTCTGTAATAGTAGTTAGACGAATGAATGTCCTATTTTTGGACAAATCCCTTCCCAATGCTGCATACTGCGTATTGCACACTCTATCCTCCAGTTTGACTGGGAAAACAAGATTCTTCTGGTCAGTAAGCGGTTATGTCATCTGCTTACTTGCACATACGGCAATCCCATCACCAAACCTAATGCACCTGGACGCCATCTCATCACATCTCCACGCCCCGTCATTTTGCCGCCGGGATCTCAGCCGCTCGGAGGATCACCCATCCTCTCGCTGGAATCCTTCTAGTCAGTCATTAGTCAGTTAGTCCATCGTTGCATGCTTCCCAGAAAAGTAACGAGGGGCCGGCACTATTACTACCCCTCGGCGCTAAAGTAGACACTTCCTGGTCATGCCGTCCCTCCATCTATTCGACCCAATCCTGGCGCTTCTGAACCCTTCCATCCTGGTCGATCAGTTGGTCGGCGCCCCCCCCCCCCCCCCCCCCTGTTAGGAGGGATAGCGCTGTGGATTCCGGACAGATGGTAGGTTAGTTGCTGTGGATACTCCCTTGACTCGTTCAATCACAGGCTGTCTGTTAAGCGCCGACGGAGAGACGGGATCGAATCCTCGCGTGTGAGCAAGTGTCTGGAGGGGTATTTCTATTTTCATCACAGCAGGGAGGTTATTTCTGGTAACGCCAGGGTCTACTGGACTAGTCCTAGCCCTCCACGATCTGATTGGCCTTGGGGTCCTGGTGCAGGTGTACCCTGCTCGGTGCTTATGTATTGCTATTTCTGGGACCTCATGGGGATATTTTTGGTAACGAGCACGACGGTGTTGGATGCAACGGATGCGATGGATATATGTATTGTTGAGCATCCAAGATGAAGTTGATGATGGAGATGGACTCTCTTGTTGCTCGCATGCTATGTTTTCCTTTTAATACCGGTCTCCTACCTACCTGGTAGAAGTTGACTTCAATGGAGCAAAGTGTCTGTGGACACAGCCAAGCCCCTCACACTCCGTCCGAATTGCCCCTCGGAGCTGGTTCCTGAGAGGCTTGATTTGACTGGTTGAGACCATCCAGTATCGCCCAGACCAGTAGCTATTCCGCACATCTTTTGCAGACTCTAGCCAGACTAGTACGTTGTTCACATAGGCAGAAAGTGTCCTGTCAAATCAGATACTGATACTTGCATAGTCATCCCATCCTCACGAGGGGTACCCGTCTGGCATCAGAACTTAGTCAGTTAGTTGGTCGTCTACCTAACTAACTAAACCAGATTTCCAGCGGTTAACAAGGTTATGCCGCCCCTGTGACAAAGGATGCATGATTCCCGCTCGCTGCAGCAGTGGATTGACGACGCTCCCCTCCTTGATGCTGCGCTGTCAGCCAATCAATGTTGTGGAGTGACCTCCAGTGGTGATGAATATAGCAACATCGCTGCGTGGCTGTCAGGCTCTTATACAAACTTAAGCGCTATTCCCCTGCATGACGACTATTCTTCATCACTCGGTGAAGCGGGTCATGGGGCAATAACCACAGCTGGTGTCCAAGGAAGGGTGACTCGACCCCGCGTATTGTCGCCCATGTGGTGATCCAGCGCTTGGGTATGATACGGTTTGGTACGACTGGTTTTACAAGACATGAAGGGAGACAGAGAAAAACAAAAAAAGAAAAAAAGAGAAAACAAGAAAAAGAAAAAAGAAAAAAGAAAGAAAAACATAGCGACAAGTGGATGGGGGTGAAGTCACTGTTGGTTCGGTGGGTGATGGTGATAGGCGTCTAATAACCACTGTGCCACCATCACGGCGGCAATGAAGGACTACATCTAGACCAGTGTCCGCACATGAATTCCTAGCACTTTCTTGGGTAGTGCTAGACAGGTCCTCTTCCTGCCTGTGATTGTCTTCCCTTTGTCTAACTAGTTGGTGAGATTGACATCATCATCAGTGGTTTGCTCATCAACCATGGGATCTAGTGTTCTGGCAGGCTGACTGACGGGCAACCGAACCATGGAATTCGGCCGAAGAGGGGACGCCTGACGGAGCCAACCATGGTAGGGCGGGGGGGGGGATTCTTTAGGGTTCTGGAACTGAGAGTGAGAGTGTCTAGTGAGGGAGAGACTGGAAAGAAACTGATTGAGACAGTAGTGAAAGATGCTGACCGATGCGGTGTGATGCCAAGAGGCTATATTTAGAAGCGGCGAAAGAAGAAGCAGCAAAAGAAGAGGAAGAAGAGCAGAAGAAGCCGAAGAAGAAGAAGAAGTGCTCGTGGATGCCCCTCTCACTCTCTTTTTCTCCATTCTTACTCCTCTTCCTCTTCTTCTTCTTCTATCTTCCTTTCTCTCCCTCTCCATCTTCTCATCTCGACACCATCATTCAAGGTTTTCGAGGAAGATACTAACCTTCCACCCCACTGCAACTGAACTTCCCGACTAACTAATATAATCATAATTGATTAATATTAATATTGTTGTTATGCATCGAATTGCCTGATGCGGTGATCCCCCTCCTATCCCGTGATCTGCGCGCGCCGTTTCCTTCCCAACCCTTTCCAGCGCCTCTCCAATTATTCTTTTCTATTTTCCTCCATATGCATCCTCGGCCATCTTATCTGCTAGTGTCTTGCGCTACTTGCTCCATCTCCTCTTCCCGATATCCGAATTCGAATCCCCTCGTTCTTCCTCTCCTGTCTCTCTCTCTCTTCCTCTTCCTCTTCCTCTAAACCCCCTTCTCTCTCCCTCCCCCTTATCTATCCCGTCTGACCGCCCTCTTGCCATGGCTCACTCGCTTCCTACGCCTTTCACCCCAAACAGTGACTTTGCTGCCCTCGACTCCCACCGCTTCTCCACGGGGCCCATCACGATCACCGCCCTGGCCCGCTTCGAGTTCGAGGCGGGCAAAGCCAACGATGGCACCAAAATCATGATGATCGAATGGGAGGACGACGCTATAGCTCGCTCCTCCTCCTTCCCCGGGGGTTCCTGGCATGTTGCCTGGGAGGGTAAAACCGCCGTTCTCCCTGCCGATGAGAAGACGAGCGACAACACCCGTCGAATGTACTTTCTACTGCCGCCACACGTTACCATTCCTCCCACCGTTACCCTGTCATACGAGCCCCCGGCTCACGCGCCCCCGTCCGCCAAGAACCCCGAACCCATGCAATTGAACCCCCTACCGGCGATATTTCCTCCAGAGCTCGGTGCTGATGGTCGCTCGGCGGGCAAGAAGGGTGTGCTACATACGATATGGGCGAAGAAGCGGCTGCAAGTGCTGGAAAAGGAGATCCGGGATGAATGTCTAAACAACGCCGAGGGGATTGCGCTGCATATGGCTCTGCAGGAGAAGGAATGGATCGAGTCCAACTTTGGTGTGTCGCTGTCTCCTGACGGGCCCAAGGTAGTCGGGCAGAGTCACCCGGATCCGCATTATCCTATGGGGCCTGCGACGCCGGTATCACCGAGCAGTGGAGGCAAACTGGGCGAGAAGCTCAAGGGGCTGAAGCTGCAGACGGGCGAGCGGGAACTGTCCCCGAAGGAGGGTACGTAGACCCCACCGACTGAAAACTAGACTGATGCTAACCATTGCTATGATCAGCCTCCGCGCGACATCTACTATCCCCTCAGTCCCCCGACGTGGCCGTCTCCTCGTTCAACTCCTTCCACAGTATACATCGACCGACGCGCAGTCCCGCGCCCGCAGCGCCAGAGGCCCTACGGACGGTGGTGCACTACCCACCGGAGTCAGTACAGGCACAGCAAAATGTCGAACACCACACGGGATTCGCATCGATGGGAGGGATGGCGCGCACAGCGAGCGCCGACTCAGGCGAGGAACTATTCGCAAAAGCACTGAGCCCGCGATCGCCAGATTTGCCGCGGAGTCCATTTTCATTCCGACCGGAGGGACTGCAGATGTGAGGGAGGCCATGCTTGGGTGTAACAACTTTGCTTTGCATTGATTGCATTGATGATGGATTGGATGATGAACTGTGCATTACTGAACTGATACCTATGCTGTACATAGATGATACCTTTGAAACTGCAATTTCATAGTAACTGATACCATACACATCCCACTACTACCTTACTTTCACTTCCCCAACACCGGATTTCCTCCCCCTTTACCCCAACTCACAACCTTCTAACCACCTAACCACCTAATTCCTCTTCTTCTTACTCCCCCCCTCCTGACCCTCACTCTTCTCACTTCCCCCCTTCTTCGAAGAAGACCCAGAAGAAGAAGAAGAAGAAGAAGCAGAAGTACTAAAACTCTCCACCTCCTGCGCCTCCTTCCTCTCCGCATACCACTGGCCCGCCTGCAACACCAACACACCAACCAACACCAGCGCCAAGATGGTATTACTCGCCGCCAACACCTTCAAACTATCCTCCCTGCCCAGAATCTGCCCCTGTTCAACACCCTCATCCCCTTCCCCACCTCCAATCGCAGCACCTTTGACCAACTCATCCCCATAAACCCCGCCACTAACCAACCTCAACCCCTTAACAATATTCGCGATATACACTGTAATCCCACACATATACAGCACGAGACTAGCGCCATCGAACAACATATTACTTTCGGAGGGTTTGTAAAGTTTCATGATCAGACCGAGAAGACCCAGGAAGATGACAATGTGCAGGATCCGCGGGATTAGGGGCGGCGAGGCGTGCAGGAATCGGAGGTGCGATTCGAAGTAGTCGAAGTGGGTTGCGGGGGTGGGTGTCGTGGACCAGAGGATGGGGTAGTCGTAGGGGAAGAGGGAGAAGATGAGGCCGAGGAAGAAGGATGTTGCTGTTATTATTTCATTTTATTAGTGGGTTATCGTTGGTAGATTGGAGGGTGAGATTGGTTGGGGGGGGGAAGTGTTTGGGGAGAGGCTATTGGGGGAGGTGGTGGCGTACGGCAGACGATTAGGAAGGTCGCAAAGGACCCGTTGCGGAAGGCCATGGTGAAGGCCTACGGGGTAGTATTCCCGTGGGTTTTTGGATGGGTGGATGTGGATGAGGTTGAAATGTTTTGGGGGGAGGAAGAGGAAGAAGAGAAGAAAGATGGATGAGATATCGGAGGTTAGAGCGGGCTTGGCGCGACCGGGTTGGTTCCAGTTCCAGTTCAGCCTAATCGCCTCTAATCTACTTATCTACCTACTTAGTTGACTGCTTATTTGTTATCTACCCATTACCAAATCCGCCATTATAATAGTACTATACTAGTACTGCACTATGCATGCAACTCTATTATATACGCCCTCAATGCTGTAGGCTGCTCATAATTAATCCCAAAAAAATCCAAACATTGCAACGTAGATGGTATCTCCCGGTATCCCGCAATGCAAGCAATAGAACTCATCCTGACAAACGCCTTTTTATTCTTACCGCTGATATCGCGGTAATGCCTCGTCGCCGCGCGCCGCGCTGCCCACCAGCTGATGGTCGCCTTCGTCGTCGTGAAACACCGGCGCCGTCGGCGCATCCGTCGACCTGCCAGGCGCCTCCACAACTTCCACATCGTCGGGCGCACTGACTTCTGTCATCAACCGCTGTCGCTCAAGCTCCTGCTTGTCCTCTCCAGGCGGTTCGGATCCACTCGCGCCCGCCGCGCTGCTTCCAGGCACGACGGTCTGCACCGACTCCGCAGAGATCACCGCCCGCGGGGTCCCATTCTCCGTCGGTGACGGCAGGTGGTGGTAGTCGTTAAGATGGTCGTCCTCCGGCAGCACTGGCGCCGTCGGAATCGCCATCTCAGATGGCCCAACCCCGGCATCGTCAGGTGGGCGACTCGGCAGGAGCATTTGCTCAGCCCTCCGGAGCCGACTCTTTTCATCGCTCGGCTCGTCGGCCGGCGGCGTCGACATCATCTCCCCAGGGTGATATGCCTGTGGCTCGCCTGGGTACTCCTGACCTGCGTATTCAGGCCAATGGGATGGTTCCCGCGGGAAGCCGTAGTCTTCTTGCGCCACATATTCACCTTCGGCGTTGGGGGTCGGGGACTGGTCGGTATTCCATGTCTCGCCGTCCGGGCCAGCGGCTGCCTGCTGATTGGAATCCACTGGAGCGGACGTGGAAGGCGTGCGCTCTGCTGCCTTCATGCCGCGCTGCGAGTCACGCGTCCCAATGACCACTTCGAACATCACCGCCACCACGCCCTTTTCACGTCGAATCTGATCGGTGTCCAGGATGTTACCCGCCCAATTCGCCGTGATCACGCTGTTGTTGACATCTGCCGGATTCAACACCTGCCCGCTGGAGGAGAAGTTGCCGCCCGAGGAGACCATGTTGAACCGGGGCAGAAACCGGTCGGGCGAGGTGAGCTTGCCCCGCAAGTCGACCACCACTTCCACATAGTACCGGAAGTTGATCATGCTCCCCGGCGTGCGCGTGATGGTCGGAAACGTATCCTCGGGCACCCGGATTGAGGTCTTCACCAGCGCGGTGAGGTTTGTGGGGTCCACCACCAGCGGTGCAAATGTCTGCGCTAGATCCTTGCGGAACACCCCGGTGGTGCGGCTGCTGCCAAGTGTCAGGCCGCCCAAGCCGGTCCGCGAGCGCGGATAGTAGTCTTCGTAAATGGGCTTCTTGCCATCCGCGGGTTTCCCCATCGGGATCGCCGGTTGGAGATCAATCCGCCCCTGGCGATACAGTGTCACGATGATCCCATGCGCGCTGCGCACCTGCTTGCAGTGGTTGATGGTGACATTAATCGGCAAGGTATCCCCCGGCAACACGCCTGCGCGCAGCACTTCTGCCTTGGCCATAATGGTTCGATCCGTCGTGGAGGGGGTGATGCTCCGGGCTTCGCTGTTCCGCATTCCAGTACTCGTCGATGAGCTCGGGTCGCTGGGAACCTGGAAGCTCAGACTGCTATTGCTCCGCCGACTCGATGAGCTGACATTGCTGGGCGCCGGGCTCAGAGGGGGGCGGTTGTCAATACTGTTGCCGCCGTGGGCTGACGGATCGATGGAGAGTGTATCAGGCGCGTCAGATCCGGCTGACTTGGCCTTTGCCTTCGACTTGGACCGTCGGGTAATCGGCTCGAGGGTGACGACGCGCGGCTTAGGTGGGGGAAAGGGCGCTATGTCAATGTTTTCTAGGACGTTGACGCGTCTCCGGCACGTCGAGGTCGGGTTGATCGTCGTCGGTTTGGTCAGGGTGGATGTAAGCATATATGATATCGTGCCACGTTCGAACTAGATGCGACTGCGATCAGTATAACCCAATAAGATCCTTACAGAAGGGGATCCACGCACATTGATGCTACTGGGTAGCGCATACGGGGGAAAGCACATCTCAAAGCGAAACTTGTAGATCCCTTCTTTAAGCCGACCTTCCCCGCAAAGGACGACCTCGTCTTCGAACAGTGTCGACAGGCCATTTCCCAGATATTCGGCACCGCGACGCCCGCGCCCCGGCCCCAAAAAGCCCAAATCCGGGGCCTGTTCACCCGGCGGCACGGTATTCTTGAAGACCTTGACAAAGCCATGGAGACAGACCACCAGATGTGTAATGCGAACGGGCCGTACCACTGTAAGGACAACGGTCCCACTGATCACATCCCCGGGAAAGTATGAGCGCCAAGGATCGTCCGGTTCGATATAGTAGTCGGTGATGCTGCGATTTCGTTGACCGAGTTGGGAGCGAAATTTGGAGAGGAGGGAGCTGCGATTCCGACCGAGCGGCGAGGGGGGTTGTGAGGGGAGAGGGTTGACGGACATGACACACGACCCAATCCATGCACGAGGAGGGAGGGAAGGAAGGAAGGAGAAATGGCGACCGGAAGTAAGGAAGTCGGAATCAGGCGGACAATGAGCTGCTGACGGCGGAAATTCAGGGGAGGGGCGGGTGGACGATTGGGGGGGGGGGGGTGGAGGACTGAAGGAGGGGAAGAATGAGGCTGGCAGGACCGGGGCTCAGCAGCGTCACTACGGTCAGTCAAGTGACGAGACGGCGACGAAGAGGTGGTGGTCGATGCGGAAGCAAGGGGGAGCGAGTCGATGAGGAGCAAGAGTACACCGTCTAGATCTCGAGAGTATAGGGAGACGAGAACGCGATCGAGACAGCTGGGAAATTCTCCGTCCAGACACCATCGATCAATCTACCGATAAACCGGCCCGATGTGTCCGTCGGGCGCGAAAGCAGCAGCGACAGGAGGAGCAGCAGGGTGAGTCTCTCGACCGGTTCAGGACCAGTTCCAACCCCCAGCCGCAGCACAGACAGCACTAGAATAGCCAAGCGCGCGTCTTTAGTGGGATGAATGGGTCCCCTTGTTTTGCTGGTCGCTGACGATGCGGGGAGTTTGGTCGGGGAAGATCGTGTCTCAAATCTCGGAGTTTGGGGGAGGGGGAAAAGGAAAACGAAGAAAGGAAAGGAAAAGGGAGAGACGAAGGGGAAGATGACAAGTAGGGAGAGGTATCAACAGTAATGGTGACAGGCCCGCATCATTTCTCGGCTGGAATTTCCCACGATCACGGCCAAAGGGTTGACAGAATAGCCCCCTATAACCGGGATATGCTGGAGGGGAGGGGAGGGGGATGGATGATGGAAGGGAAAAGGAATGGATAGTCCCGGGAATTAGTGTGGAGGGAGTCAATGACGGGGAGGAAGGTTGGTGAAGAGGATGACAAAAGAGCAGTCGGAAAGTAGAGAAGAAAAGAGGAAAAGAAAGGAATGGATCCGTATGGAGAAAGGGGAGAGGGAAAGAGAAAGAGGAAGGGTCAGCAGTACGGTGTAGTAGGAGGTGTCAAGCAGAGAGAGGGAGTGATGGATGGAGAAAGAAGAGGATGATGGAGGGATGGAGATAAGCAGCCCGGCTTGTGGTCGAGGTCAAGCTTCTCTTGGGCCGTTCGTGGCTCGGCGGTTTCCACTCGGAGCAAATCGACTTTCCACTGATTCTATTTTCTATTTTCTGTACGAATTGGCTTTTGGTTTGCCTGCCGTGAGCTGAGAACTATGCTTGTAGGGCACGGTGATGATAATTATTATTAATATTAGTAGTTTACTTATTATTAGTATTATTCTCCCCCCATTTTCCTTTCCCTGACTAGTCACATTGACCACTACTCGTGGCTCATTAATCCGAAATAAAACTGGCTAACGAATTGGTCCCCTCAAATGGACCCAGTTAACCACAAAGTACTACTAGTTCAGACTAACTAACTAGTGGTGAGAAGCCGCTGACAAACTTCCGCGACGGATGGATTGATGGATTCCATGACGGCCCATCCTAATAACAACCACCACCACCACCACTAAGCATTCCTAAGCATCAACCACATCCAATCCATCCATTAGTGATCAGAACAGGACTACTTCATCTCCATCTCTAGCTCACGCAATCCTTCCCCCTCCACGTATTCTTCCTTATAACATTCTCGCTGCACCATCCGCAATACCTCCCGATCCCCTCCGGTCACCTTATCCACATACCCTTCCAAGATGTAGATGTTATCCGTCCACTGATGTGCCAGTCGCCGATACTCCTCCGTCTCCTCTTTAATCTGCGGTAAGCTTTTCCCCTCCGGACTCGTCGCCAACGCCATCCACTCCCCCTGCAGTTGATGTGTCTCCCGCTCGAGCACAGCCTTCTGCTCCATCAATCTCCGGCGCTCTTCCTCACCATTCCCATTCCCATTCCCATCCCCATCCCCATGCGCCTCTTCGGCCTCTTCCTGCACTCTCGCCTGCTTCCGCGCAGACAACTTAGCCTCCGCATCTTCCCAATTCCCTCGGACCCGATCCACCTCACTCCGTAACCTCCGGATCCGCTCCTCGCGCTCTTTCTTCTCCTCTCCCCCAAAACACCAATACCAATTCCCACTACCGATCTTCTCGACCCGGATCCGTCCCTCATCCGCCAATTCCTGAACGTACTCCTTCACCTGTATCCCGTTTATTGAGGCCACCGACGGGATCATCTTCTCCAAATCCTTCAGGGTGTGGCACGTCCCCGTGGCCCGCAGATGTGAGACGATCAGGGCTTGTTTGGCACTCCTGGAAAGTTTAGGCGGCTAGCTCGACACAATAGTTATTTTCTGTTTTTCTTTTTCCCGTCTTACTTACTTTCTTTCTTGTTTCGTATAATTAAACAAGACAGAGACACAGACAGGCAGACACCCTTGGACTAACGCACCCACTAAGGCACATAGTAGTAGTGCTTGCTTCCTTAGTGGCCTTGATGGGGTGCCCAATCATTCGCCCCATTGGTTGCGGGGAAAAGACGGAGGCGTCGACGTACCATGGTCAAACAGGTAGCCTTTAGCTACTTGCTGTGTGTCTTGGACTTTTGCTTATGTCTGGACCCTGTGGAGAGGGGAGAGGGGGAAGGTGTTTCCTGTTTGAGGTTGCTGACAGGCATAAACGAGATTATTTAGTGGGGTCGGAGATGTCCTGCTGGTGAGATACTTACAGTAAGATGGATGGAGTTGAGTGATGAGGATGGACCGGTGAGTGTGTGTCTACTTCTCTACTACTAGTTCTGGACACCCCAAACAGTAACGTAAATGTTCCCCCCGGTCATGTGGCATCACGGGGTCAACCTCAACTATAATGGCCTCGGTATTGTTTGTTCTCCCCGTAGGGCTGCTGAGTATTCATTACTACTGGCAATCACATTCATGTCCTGCAGTTACAGGGGAGTATCCCCTGTGATAACAACTAGAGGCCTTCTATTTTTTCTATTTCCGTCTCCTTCCGGCTCTGTTAGATCTTTTACCCTTACTGGATACAAACCCCGCTCTTCTCATCCTTGCAAGGCAGGCACTGGGTCGATGCGCGACATTGTCGCCGGAATTCGTCCTCTCCTGTCTGTCCTTGTAGGGAGAGATACGTAGGTCTGCTGACACTGTCCCCCGATCCCTTGTCAAGCAATCGCAATGGCGATCTCTATCTAACGGGCTGTGTGTGTGACAAGGTATAGATAACACGTCGGAACTGAAACCTCGCTACTGTCGTGTCATCACCAGAGTTTGAACAAGGAAGAAGACAACAGAGGACCGTCCTATCATCGAAATATCCTCACCATACCGATGCTACACATTAAACAAAGCGCCCCATACCTTAAACCCTAAAGGGGGCTACAGACTTCACCCGGGCAAACAAACCATCTGCACAAGTTCGACCTCAGACCCTTGTCCATATTTCTAAACAAAAACCCCCCCGGTCGCTCAACCTACCTACCTCCTACTTACCCGACTCAAAATGCACAGATCACGCAATTCTCTCACTACTGTATATTATACAGCACCCAGTAAATAGGGCATCCGTCCAGCCGATGCAGATCTTTTCCAAGCACCACGCACGGATCAGGTAATTGCGTGTGTATTCCATACAAGGGTGCAGCTCACGGACATAAGCAAAAGCTTGTGTCAGCCGAAGCCCATCCTGCCCTTACCACTGTTGGGAAATTATCGACCAAAGCACACGTCAGCTGAGTGAGAATCCTAAGTAGTAGCGAAGACGGCTGAAGGGGAAGCAAAAAGGGTCTGAGACACTCTGAGGCAAGATAAGGTTTTCTTTGACGGCCAGTCTATATCGCGGTGAACTATTGCTTATGAAACACGGCTATGGGCGGCGGTCAGAGGGGCGAGAGGATTACCCCCTCCTCCGCTCCCTCCCTCCCCTTTGTCCGTGAGTAAGTTGGTACTGCTGCTGGGATCTCGCCGATGCCGGCTTTCTCCGGCGTCTGCTTTGGTTCACCTGCAGGGGCTGCCTTTGTACTGCGGTGTGCGGGTTAGGATGTACCGAGGAGAGCTATAAGCGGTTAAGGTATATATTTGCATAAGATGACGGACATAAAATGCTTAGCTTAGCTTGCTGATGTAAGGGTAGCCTGTTGGTGCCTAGGCAATCGTTAGTAGTTATGCGGTGGTTGAATCAGGAGCTGCACAGCAGGGCCCAGAGTTCGGAGACTGATCCGCATTTTTGCAGCCCTCTTGAGCTGGTTGTTTGATGGTCTCGCCTGGTCGGACTGCGAACGGGGTGATGCGTGGATTCCGGCAGTGGTGACCTTGATTGTAGAGGCTTGGTGCGGGAATGGCGGCTTGTTGCCGGAAATGACATGATGACATGTCATCTGACTGGCGGTTTGCCCACGCCAGAGCTACTTTCTCGTATGCAGTATGAAACATATTTAGGTTACAGGTAAAGAATTCCGTGGATGCTACTAAGGTATTTTGGAGGAATCTGAATAGAAAACAGGATATTATGATACAACGTGCATTCCGCACAATTTGTTCAAACGGTCAAGGAATGCTTGGGTGAAGAAGTGTGAGCAGCAACTGACCCTGGGGTGCATGAAGCTGGACGGGCCAGTCCAATCAAGGTTCAACGGCATTCCAGCAGATGCACCAGCCAAGATCTTGGCGGCGCCGGGTCGACGATGATCGCGGGCTAAGCGATGTGCAACATGCATAGGGCTCTGGCTCGTGAGATTGACTGGGGCTGGCCGAGGTGACTGGTCGTATAGGGAGCAAAGACATGAGGCTTCTTATTGCTACCCCATTTGGACAGTCGAAAGTAAGGACTTGGCTAGAGCCGAGACAAGCTTGCAGTACCCACGAGCCAAATGCGTCTTAATCTAGTGGCTTGCTGAAAGATGAGATCTTTGGTCCCTTACAGTTGCGCATCCAGCCAAGCAATGTTGATATCAATCCTCGCGTATCGTATTGTCCTCAATCTCTGGTTCTGGCGCCCTAACGATGAGTGGTCACCATAGGAGTATGCGACTGGATTGGTGCCCGAATGGATGATGCAACAGTATTTGTGGAAGGTAAACCACGCCACAGGTACAATAACTGCTGAGTAGCTTGCTAAACCTCACCACCGCTCATCATCTTCCATATCCAGCTCAGTTGCGGAGGTCATTTTACGACCCAACTTGCGCTTCTTTGGCCGCCTCTTATTCACCACCACGCTCTCTAACTCGTCACCCGAGCTCGCCATCGTACTACTCTGACCGGTATTTGCTCTTTTGCGGCGCATATTTCGGCTGAGCTGAGGGGCTAGTGGTAATTCGTCGGTCGGGATTTCCTCTCCCTCCACGAGCACCATGTCTCCGGTTTCACCCAGAGATTCCTTGGCCATTTCCTCCATCAAAATCCCCATAGCTAACAACGCCGTCTCGTCCATGCTCTGGTAATCATCCCGTCCTCCGTCGATCGTCGCATGGTCATAGTAGTCGGCCGAATATGCGTGAATGGCCTCGAGCAACTCGGAGCTGGGTAGGGGGCAGCTGGGTGGGAGGGCCTCATGAGCAAAGTAGAAATCGTTTTCTTCGTAGCGCTGCGGGGCGTTTTGTCGACGGAAAAGAACTTCCTCCGGACGGACTGGACGAGTGCTGGACGATGCGGTATCGCGGTATTTGGAAGAGAAAGGGGCCGATGGCAGAAAGCCATGATGATTCACCCGACCTGGACACAGTCAGTCTGCTGAAGTGGGAGACAATCCATATGAAGACGAACCGGCAACGGCATCATAAACAGTCGCTTGTCGCTTCTGTCGCCTGGCGCCAAACTCATCTTGTTCTTGGACTTCGACGACATCGGGGGTGGGAGGTCGGACGAAGGAATTCTGGCTCAATGCAAGGGATTTGCCGTAGGACATAGTCCCGGATTAGCTAGAGCCGCCCGTGCGAAAGCATCAGGAAGCCTGTTCCCAGGGAGAACCGGACAGCTGGAGACTCTGCCGGCGGGCAAGTTGATACTTCCGATTGCTTTTGCGACGCCCGGAAGATTTTCCCCTTCGTGATTGGCATTCCGGCACAACCTTTCTCCGGCAGGTGTTGCGGTCATGTGAGAGCGAGTCATTCCATCTACTCATCACAACAACTTATCTGCCTTGTCCAGATATATTTTCACGGAGCTCGGAGAAGGGCTCTGTTGGCCTAATGAATGAATGCGTATCTTCTCAATAGGGTTCTGGGGTCCGTAAGTCCCTCGACCTTTCATGTCGCACAAACCACGCGACTTATTCAACAGCTCGAGCCGGCGCCTGGCATTCGCTTCTCGGCACGTAGAGACATTCTTTTGGGAGGAAGTCAAGAGGATGCAGGCTTGATTTTTGATGATGAGGTATTTGCTCACAAGGCGGGAGTGAATGTGCTCGCCATCGATCACTATGACGGCCGATTGTATGTTACACTCATCCTGTGCCTAGCTCCAATTAACGGTAGACAGCATGGTCTCTGGGGGTGCAGACCCTTCAATTCATCTCTGGGATTTGGAGTCACGAGGCTCAGATTTGAAACATGTGCACCAGTCCGTGGCATCTGTAAACAGAGCCTCGCACGAAGATGCCCACACACGTGCCATTACTTCTGTCTCCATATACCCATTTGATCCCACACCGTCTACTATCTTGACAACCTCGTACGATGGCACGCTCAAGCTTTCAGCTTTAGCGCCAGCGGCTATAACACCTGTGCACACATTCAATCTAGACTGCACACCGTACACCCATTCGCTGTCGTTAAATCCTGCGTCTCCTTTGCTCATTGCAGTAGGTACCTCGGAGAAGCCGGTCCGACTACTTGACCTACGTTCAGGTCTGTCGACACATGGTCTCCCTGGACATGAATCTTCAGTCCTGTCCGTATCATGGGCTCCTCATCAGCCACACATCCTGGCTTCTGCGTCGGCAGACAATAGAGTAATCCTCTTCGACATCCGCCGGGGAGGCCACAATTCAGCGATCGCAGCACTAGACATGGATGATGCTATTGGGCTCGTGCGCCCGGGATCCACCCCAGCATCCTACCAGAGCCGCCCCGCATTCTCGCCGCACGCTCGAGCCCATAATGGCGCTGTGACCGGTGTCCGGTGGACGTCTACCGGTAGTCACCTGGTGACCGCTGGTCAGGACTCACGGATTCGAGTCTGGGATGCTGGGACAGGTGCAAACACGCTTGTACACTTTGGTCAGCGTGTCCGGAACAGTGTGAGTTCACACCTAGCTGAACGGGCACCGCTTGTCATACCTCGCGGAGTGGTCACCTCTGGGCAAGAAACGCTCTTATGGCCAAACTTCAATGAGAGAGATGACCGTGGGGAGATCTTCATGTTTGAACTTCGAGAGGGGGCTTTTGTCAAGCTTCTTCGCGTACCGGGTCTTGTGACCGGTCGGCAGCAGTTTCAGGGCCGCTCCAGTGCCCTCAGCGCTGCGAGGATCAACGCCCTTGCTTGGCGCGGCAACGGTGCCTCAGGAGAAGGGATCGAGATGTTTTCGGCCCACGGCGACGGAACCATTCGCACCTGGGCCTCACGGGAACCCGAGGGTGAGCCTGATGATGAAGCCGAAGAGGCCGAACGAGCAGACCGCAAACGCAAGCGCGATGTTCTCGACGAGATTTACCGAGGATTTATAGGCTAACTATACGATGAAGAAACTCTACAACTGGACCAAACGTAGCATGCAATAAAAATATCGTTTCGTTCATCTATAATACATCATGTTCATGTCAAGCATATCCCAGATATGCATTTCATTTACTCGTTTCGGATCTGATGCTCGCCAATAGCATCTTCGTCCTCCCCGGAGAACCGCTCATAACCACTGCGGTTGAGATTGGAGTGCTTCAGGTTTCTGGACTCACCCTTGGCACCAGGGTGATTGGTGCCGATCAGGTTCCTCTTGGACTCGCCTTCAGCCGGGAAACTATCACCGGTTCCGGTGATGACTTCGCCTGAGGGAGCCATGTCTCTAGTGCTGCGAGGCATATCGGTGGCGTTGTCGGCGGCAAAGGCGGAGGTCGGGTGAGCGATACCGTAGTTATCGAACTGAGAATCTTCGGAGCGCTGATCAGGGCGAGGAACGGAGGGGATTGTGTTCATGATGCCTGCATCATTGGGAATGCGAGTGCCCTCGGGAGCCATGTCCTCGAGACGTCCGCCGCGGTGAGGATCAGAAGACATATTGAGTGTTATGGTAGTAATTGAGCTTGGTGAGGTTTTCGAGTTGAATTGAGTGGATTTTATTTTTGTCGAGCTTGTTTAGGTTTGATCTGGATGGGCAAGAGACCACCAGGCCAAGTTAGTTTATATAACTGATGAGTCGGGCTGGACTGACATCTGATGTCACTGTCCAGGCGCAAATTGAGTCTGGGCCATGATGAGGCTATGATATCAGCAGGGTCCCAACGTGCATCCGAGCGCAGGGAACCAGTCAATCGATGATGAAACATGCAAGGATCTATGGAATACTCCAACCCAAGTCTAGCCGAAAGTTCCATTGACTCAGGTCATCCAATTTGGAGACGAAGGCAAATCACGTCAGTCCCTAAGGTACCCGCTATACGTTGCCCATACTATCACCACCCGCCCTTTCGATACCACCACATCATGGTTTGCAACATTACTGCCCATCTGACAGGTACACCATTCACAGATGGTCTTTTTTCGTTTCCGATATCTGATTTGCCCCTTCAGCATCTTCAGCACTTTATTCTGTATAACGTCATCGCCATGGCCATACCTGACTCAGCATTCGGGACCCTTCCCGGCCAATCAGAGGGCATCCTCAGGAACAATGGCTTTAAGCTTCACTTCAACAACCACCCTCCGTGGAATGATACTTTATAGAGGCCTTATCTGTGTCTGCCTCAGTGCTCATAAATATTATTCTCCAATTCAGCGCTGCATAGTATCAGTTTTTTTTTCGGTCGCAAACTCCCCCCAGTCAACCCATCCACGATCGGCTCCTGGTCTCCATGCCAGTGTCGTGCAGCGAGGCAAAGACACTACATACATACACAAGGCTATGAGATGAGGCGATAGGAGCTCAACATTTGGCACACAGTGCCAATCTCGTCAGTCGCAGCCGCGTCCCCATCACAAATACACTGCCCGCAAGCAGGAGTACGCCGGAGTAGACCTTCATTCCCCAGTAAGACCCGCCGTCATAGGCTAATATTGCTCCTCCAATGGACCCTGTTACAAGTCCCGCGATTGATGCAAAGAAAAAGTTCAGCCCAACCCAGTATCCAATTTCTCGAGGTGGGGCTATGGGTGCCACCAAAGCCACGAAAATAGTATAGTAGGCCCCCGACGTGACTCCAAACAGTACATCAAAAGTGATGATTGCTGAGTTGTTAATACCTGGGATCCAAAGCGCGAGCACCAGGAGACCGGAGCAGACAGTACTTGAGATAAGAGTGTTGTATGCGCCGATCTTGTCTGCAAAAAAGCCAGAAAAGAATCGTCCAAAGAGACTACGACGTACATCAGTATATGCATGGTATTATGAAGAAGTGGGGTCAGAAACACACCTTCCAGCATTCTGAATAGATACGAGGTACTGCGACAGATTGTTCTGCATTCCCACAGCCAATGACGATGTGACAATATAGTTACTTGGGACCCATATACCAAAGCTCAGCAAAGTGCCGCCGGCAAGAAGCAGGACCATATTCACATCTCGGAAAGGGTGCAGGAGGTTCTCTCGATTCAAAACCTCTGGGCGTGGAGGCACGCGCTCCCTTACAGTGAGACCAGCGATGATAAGAAAAAATAACATCATGAATGCGACGATCCGCATGGCCCAACCGAAGCCGACTTTGGGAATGAGTCGGTTAACCATGATGGGCAATATGATACCCGCGATCCCTGACGAAGACGAGATGATTCCGTATGCCAATCCGCGCCGTTTGTTGAACCAATCAGGAATGACACTCAAGACTGGCTGCGCTATGGCGCAGAGTCCTATTGGACTACAGATGCCCTGTGCGAGCAGAACCTGATAGTATTCCGTGGATATAGAAGCCATCATGACCCCAAAAATATGAAAAAATGAGCCTCCGATGACGACTGCGCGCGGTCCGAAAGTATCACTCAGCCGGCCGACAATAGGACCCTGTATATCTCTCACAGTATCAGTATGCAGAACATGAGATCCGATGAGCAATCTATCTTCTTACCAAGGCAAGCATGAAGAAGACTTCGAATGAAGGGATCCACGCGATCGTACTCGCAGGATAGCCTGGAAACATGACATTCTGATAGTAGTTCTGGAACACGCCAATACCTATCGTCAAATTGATATGATTGTCAGTTGTTCTGAATATCCCGGTCTTCTCATCCACCGTCCACGCAGAAACCTACTATGGAGCCATCCGTAACTGGAAAACATCGCACACCATCCACCCACCACAATCAGCCACGCTGCTGTACCACCGTCGGGGACTGAGTCGTCTCGGTCGTCTCGGTCGTCGGCTTGCGAGTCTTGAGACGTCTGCCTAGATGGCGGAGTGGCAGACAGACACTCTTTAAACCTGCTGTGTCCAGGTTCTGTCGGGTGAGTATCACGAGCATCTTGGGCTGGGCTTCTTACTACCGAGATGGACATTTCGAACGACCCTCTTCGTCATAGAAAGGTGATATGTTAGTTGATAGAATCTCCTCCCCACGAACAAATCACATATATCACAACACATCGCGTCCGTCTCTAGCGCACCCTAATCAGAACATTCGCTGGCATCAGCTTGAGATCAATTGGATAGATTATTCTCCGACATGCATCGTTAAGCTCATCAAGTACATATCACTACACCGTTGGAACAATCGAAGCTTATGCACAATGAAGGACCATTGACTTTGAGAAATGGCACGGCAAGTATTACAGACCTTCTAATATCCAATAAAACATTCCATTGCAACCTGTACAGCAGAATCTAATATGTTCGCCTCCAATGAAATAGACCAAACCAAAACAGGTACACCGTAGTCGAATAATGTATACAGCCGCACAAACCAAACACGGTGTACCTTTGTACTGAAATGCCCCATTTCCACACAAAACTCAATATAAGCTCCGACACATGCATGCTGTAATCGTATGCCAATCCAGTTATCATATCCACAGACAAATCATCGATAGGTATCTAGGTGGCGAACGTAGTAAAGTATGTGGCTGGCTGATCGAAAGGCATTTCACTTATATTCATCAAGCTCTAAGCGGTCAATCATTTGATAAGTTACTACCGAATGAACTGAACTTCTTCCATACTACCATTTAATATATCTCCACCCACTCCTGCCATAACTATTCCCTCTTCTTCGTTTTGCTCAGCATTCTCTCCGATATTCCATCTTCCCATGAACTCGTATATATATATATATATGTATATTTTGTAAATAGCATGTACTATACTTTCACCTTATAAAACCGCCATACCTACAGACTATAGTAACAAGGAGTGGTAGCGCATTTGTACCGAGTATGGGGTTGGGTTGTCTTCTATTAGACAAGAACCATTTCCAAATACACAAGATTCCAGTAGGTAAGCTTCGAGAATGGTGCTCTGATGCTTTAACAATATGATTTCATCAAACCAAAACTTTGACTGTTATAGTAGAATTACTGTTGCTGCACACCGCCAATTTGAAGATGCCACATGGCTAGCTCTGCGACATGCATACACGTACGTATATGCGGTGAAAATGCCTATGTAAGGGGGCTAGACGGCTTGCTACCTAATAGATTTAGAGCCGCTGAATGGTGCGTATAAGGCCAAGCTACGTGGATGACTAGAAGTGAAAGCACATCAAGCATGGTTGGATTAAGTTCTCGAGAAAAAGGTAACAGATACATGCAAATCAATTAATGCTGAAAGCGAGTGACACGGATTATGAACGAAGAGCATCCGATATAGATGATTAGGCAAAAGAATGACATGAAATGTATGGGACATTCTCGGGAATAATGGATCCACGGATAATCTGCTGCTGCATAGCTTTTACAAGATCAGGGCCATAAGGGCGACCAGACCTGTGACGATGGGGAAGAAGCCATGCACCGGAGCAACCTGTGCGCCTGCGCCAGTGAACATGATGCTGTTTGCCGAGGGGGAAGGCGTGGAGGACGGTCCCGGCAGGTCGTAGCGGAAAGATGGCTCGGAAGCCACAGAGCCACTGGGCTTGGGTGTGGGAACCCCGAGGCTGCTGGCGGCTGCGGCTCCACGGAAGGCTTCAGTGGGTGCAGGAACGTAGACAGGGATCATATGGAAGGTGGAGGCCTCTTGGATGGTGATGGTCGAGGCGATGCTGTCCAGGTTGCCGGGGAAGGGGGCAGTAGGGGCAGGGTCCATGGCGACGTTGGAGCTCATGGCCACGGGCTGTTGTGCTGCAGAGGATGCCGCGACGTCAGGTACATGCTCTGGTTCCGAGAGGTCAGAGTTGTACAGGGCTGATACACCAGTTGGGTCGGCGATGGAAGCAGCGGCATTGTACATGGGGTTGGACGGGGCGGCAGCTGGCGTGGACTCGGCAGGTGCGTTGTATATGGGAACGGACTCGATGCTGGGCCCGGTTGGCTGGGCTTGGGCATTGTAGAAGGGTGTGGACTCTGCGGCTCCTGCGGCAACCTCTGGTGCATTGTAGGCGGGTGTGGATTGAGCGACAGCATCAACGGCCCCTGTGAAAGGCTCGTTGAAGACGGGTGCCCCATGTCCTCCGTGTTCAGGGAGTCCAGTGTTCCGACTTGGACCACCGCTCAATGTGCGGGTAACCGTGTGGACAATCTCGTGGACGACTGGTGAGGCGCAGCTTGAGCTCGAGTCAACGTCCTTGGCCGAATCATCTTCGCCGGAGTGAGCAATGGGGTCGACTCCAACATCATGTGGTTTGCTGGAGTCATGCGGATCATGCGAGTCGTGGGGCTCAGTTGGCTCATGATGAGCGTCCACGTCAGTGTCCTTCACGTCGGCGGAGACAGAGTGGTCATCACTGTAAGCTTCATTGGTAGCCTGGCCGTATACATTGGTGACTGGGAGGATGGCGGAGTTCCCAGTGTCGATTCCAGATTCACCCTGAATGAGACTGTCGTCTGCGCGGTGATGGTGCCGGTGCGGCTCATCCACATCGGTTTTCTTGGAGTCCACATCAACGGAGTGATCATCCTTATCAGCTTCGTTATATTCAGACGAGAAAACATTCGTAATCGGGATGGTTGCAGAGTTTCCTGTGTCAATACCTGACTCACCCTTGATCAGGTCCCGGGGTAGATGTGGGTGTCCGTGCAAGTGTCCGTGCTCGGGACGATCAATTGCTGTATCTTTGATATCTGCATCCACGGAGTGGTCATCCTGGTGCGCTTCATTCTCCTGGGATGAGAAGACATTGGTGATAGGAATGCTTGCAGAGTTGCCGGTATCAATTCCCGATTCTCCGTTGATCAGATCACGAGCATGGTGGTGGTCTGGGCGGCCATGGTAGACAGGCACCCCTTTCACAGCCGTGTCCTTTACGTCGGCATCCACAGAGTGGTCATCCTTGCTAGCCTCGTTGTACTCAGAGCTGAATGCATTAGTAATTGGAATTGTAGCAGAGTTCCCGGTGTCAATGCCAGATTCTCCCTTGATCAAGTCGCGAGCATGGTGGTGGTCTGGGCGGCCATGGTGGACAGGCACCCCCTTCACAGCCGTGTCCTTTACGTCGGCATCCACAGAGTGATCATCCTTGCTAGCCTCGTTGTACTGAGAGCTGAATGCATTAGTAATTGGAATTGTAGCAGAGTTGCCGGTGTCAATGCCAGATTCTCCCTTGATCAAGTCGCGTGGGTGATGGGGGTGGGGATGTCCATGGACAGGTACCGGCACAGGCACTGGCTTTGGGTCTGGCTGCTCCTTCACCACGGTGTTCTTCGTATCTGTGTCCACCGAGTGGTCATCCTTACTAGCTTCGTTATACTGGGAACCAAACGCATTGGTAATGGGAAGAGTAGCTGAGTTGCCAGTGTCAATTCCTGACTCGCCCTTGATCAAATCCCGAGGCCAATGTCCGTGAGGGTGATGCACGGGCACAGGCACTGGAACCGGCTTGGGGTCCGGCTTGTACTTAATCGCCGTGTCTTTCGAGTCCACATCAACGGAGTGATCGTCCTTACTAGCTTCATTTACCTGAGATGCGAAGCTGTTGGTGATCGGCAGACTAGCAGAGTTGCCCGTGTCAATACCGCTTTCACACTTGATCAGATCACGGGGCCAATGAGGGTGGGGATGGTGGTGCGAGGGTGTCTTGACAACAGTATCCTTATGCTTGACATCCGCGGAGTGATCATCCTCAGATACTTCATTGACTTCGTTGGACCCCACGTTTGTGAAGGGTAGTGAAGCCGAGTTACCGGTGTCAATACCTGACTCCCCCTTGATCAAATCACGTTCATGATGATGGTGAGGGCGGTGCTCAGGCCCTGTCACATCAGTGTCCTTGACGTTGACATCTGCCGAATGGTTGTCCTTGTATGACTCATTGTCCGTGGAGCTGAAGACGTTGGTAATCGGAATAATTGCTTCATTCCCGGTGTCAATCCCAGACTCTCCTGAGATTAGGTCCCGAGGCCAATGGGGATGGCGGTGCGGGTGGGCCTGTTTGGTGACATCGGTGTCCTTGACATTGACATCCGCAGAGTGATCGTCGTCATAAGACTCATTGTCTGTAGAACTGAAAGCGTTTGTGATAGGGATAACTGCCTCATTGCCAGTATCGATCCCAGACTCGCCAGAGATAAGATCCCGTGGAACATGGGGGTGTGGCAAGTTGGGGTGGTCGGGGTGCCCGTGGTGCGCGTCATCGAACACGCTCTTCTTCTTGTCCACGTCCACAGAATGGTCATCCTTGCTAGCCTCGTTGTATTCAGAGCTGAATGCATTAGTAATTGGAATTGTAGCAGAGTTCCCGGTATCAATTCCAGACTCCCCGTTGATCAGAGTGGGTTCTTCACGTTCCCCGCGAACATGGTGGTGCGGCCGGTCGTGCTTTTCAGGATGTCCTGGCTCAACCACGGCCGTGTCGTCTTTGTTGAAATCAACGGCGTGGTTATCCTCGGTCGCTTCGTTATAGCTAGACGAGAATCCATTCGTGATGGGCAGTGATGCAGAATTGCCGGTATCGATGCCAGACTCCCCGTTGATCAAGGTTGGTGCTTCACGTTCACCACGGGGGTGGTGGTGCGGCCAATTGTGCTCTTTCGGATGCTCAGGCTCGACGACAGCCGTGTCATCCTTATTAACATCCACTGCATGGTTGTCCTTGCTCGCTTCGTTATAGGAGGACGAAAATTCATTCGTGATCGGCAGGGAAGCAGAATTTCCGGTATCAATGCCTGACTCCCCCTTGATCAGGTCGTCACTGCCTCGCACCCAGTGGTGGTGCTCCGGGTGCTTGGGGTGCTTTGCGTGCTCCGGGTGCTCCTTGTCCACCACAGTCTTATCCTTGTCGATATCAGCAGAGTGATCATCTGAGTGAGCTTCATTTACGGTGGAAGAGAATCCGTTCGTAATGGGCAGTGATGCAGAGTTGCCCGTGTCGATACCCGATTCCCCGCTGATCAGGTCCTTGTCGTCTCGCACCCAGTGGTGACCGTGAGGGTGGTGGTGCTTGTCGTCGTCGACAACCGTCTTGTCTTTGTTGACCTTAGACGAGTGGTCGTCGCTGTGCGCCTCATTGACAGTAGACGAGAAACCGTTCGTCACCGGCAACGATGCAGAGTTGCTTGTATCAATTCCACTTTCACCATTGATCAGGTCAGGCTCTGACCGACCGTGGTGGTGTGGGCGGCTGTGAGTCGCACCTTTCACAGCACCCAGGTTCTTGTCAACATGAACCGAATGGTCACCCTCGTGAGACTCGTTCACTGTGTTCGACTTGACATTGATGTGCGGGTCGTAGTAGTGTTCGTTGTCATTTCCATTGCCTTTTTGGTTGATTTCCTCCCTAGGCCAGTGGTGGCCGCGGTGAGCATGCTCATCCACGAACTTCTTCTTCGCATCAACATCAACGGCATGATCGTCGGAATGCTCCTCATTCGCAGTGGAGCTAAAACCATTGGTAATCGGCAGCGATGCTCCTTGTCCACCATCCACACCACTTTCTCCCGAGATAAGTGTAGCCTTGGCCATGCTGGCGAGCATGGCAATGCTGATTCCGCTTTGAAGTCCCTTCATATTGTCGCAAGATTACAATGGTAAAAGTTATTTCGAAAGGATAGAATACAGGGACGAATAGATCTTTATCAACGAATGACTTCGGCCAAACGGGCCAAGGGAAGATCAGTTAAGAAGGAACGTAACCAAAGACTGACCGAATAAAAGAAAGACCAGGCTCTGGCAATTTGGATAACTCGTGAACGCAGTATCATAGGACCTTGTTGCACCTTTTATTTTCGATCCCTTCGGCGGCCATTTCCTTTGGTATGCAGCCGTCTTACAACCACTACAACAAACAAAGCTAGTCGGACATTGTTTTGACCGGAGAATGCCTTGAGGAATGGTTCAGACCAGGTCCTGTGGCCGATGGGCAGAGCATCCTCAGCTCCCGTCGTCGCAGGAGACACCATCCCATTGTGCCGTCAGCATTCCTGGGGAATGAATCGCGCGGAAAACAGGGGACTGGAATGCCTGAACCACGTAAAACATCAGATCGTCATCGCTTGCTTTGGGGATGTCTAATACTGGCCGGCTGATGAGGAAGGTTAGTTTACTTTGATGGTCATTACGCCATCGACACCTGCAGATAGCTTAGGGAAAGGTGAATACTGTAAGCCAGCCAGTTCGGCTGTCAGTTCGGACGCCGCGTCGCGTGGCTTACTTCTGCCCGCATGCCAGACTCTCCGCGGCAGCTAGCAAATTTTCTCCCTGCCTTCAATCGAAGGTTCATTGAACAGGACTGTGGGATCTGATATGTTCTCAATTCGATGAGTCGACTACTGATATTAAAATTTATGCAGGTGTACGTTGATTCATCGAAAAATGATCAATATTAAGATGTTTTTATTCATATTCATTGGTGTTTAAAAATGAGATGTATCCCGTCATCGACATTCACCCCTCATCGCCCTCACTGAAGAGGACCCAACGAGAGACAAACTTCCTATCAAGGAATATTACTCTCCAGAGCCGATCAGTCCGTAGACCGAAGGCAACACGTCGCCGTGGAGAAGGCTGGACGACGGTCGTGGCAGGCTCTGTTAAAGCTTTTCGATGTATGTAGAAGAAAGAAAAAAAGAAGAGGAAAGATCGTCGCTGCCGCCCGCTTTTTGTAGTTCGTGTGCGTCACGTGAGCACTCCCGCTTAGCTTAGTGTCAATTAACTCAGGCAGCCAGGCACCCGGATCTACCACGTCAGGCACCAACTGCTTCCGCAGCAATTGCTCTTCTCTCGGTATAGGAAAGGTCTATCATCAAAGCCCATCCATTCAACGCCATACCTGTAATCACAGCCTGAAGCGTGTGTCATGGCAATTTATGTACAAGTGCTCCCTGCCATTACACTCACATGTACACAGAAGCTCAACCCTCCACCCTTTGCAACCCTTGCCCAACCCTTGATTACATCCTTAGCCCATGACGCCTTGTTTGTACCGCAGTTCCAGTTCGCCCGAATCACGCATTGTGTGTCTGGAGCGATTGCCGACAGAACCTTCAACTCCCTAGAGACAGATCTGGCTGCCACACTTCACACCAGACTGACCACCAGCCACCCACCTACCCCCCAATCACCACCTGCTGGGTATCAGACTTCCACACGGCCCCTCCAACAGCAGCAGTGATTCCTAGCGCGATCGCAACCATGGTCCCAACTGTCACGACAGCAATCGTCGCCTTGACTGCCATGCGTTGCTTGCGGCTCAGTCTCTGCATCCATCCGCAGCGTCGCTTCTTCTGAGCCCAGAGCTTCGACTCACGGTGGTTCGCGCATTCCACTGGCTGTCGGTGAACCGTGGGCGGGTCTTCGGGATCAAGGGGGCTGTATCGTGTTGTCGTCGCTTTGGCTGCCTTTTTTAGTCGGTCGATAGTTAATGATGGTGTGGCATGGCGATAGAATGGTGAGGATGGCTTTGCTCCATCTGCTGGATTGAATTCCCCTTGTTGTAGTTCGGGAGTTGATGCGATGGACGCGGCTTCAGGGACTGTGGGGAGAGGAGTTGATCCAGATGCAGTGCGTCTCTCTTTCTGTATCAGTGGATGATCTGTCGACTGGCTGAGTGGACTCGTCATATTCATGCTGCTTAGGTAAAATGCGGCTGTAGAGATGTAGTTACTCCTGACGCAAGTGATGCTAGATCCGTGGAAGGATATCAGTTAACGAAAACAAGAGAGTAAGTGTTGATAACATAGGTGAGAGGGGTTTTAGGGGTAATGATATGGTTGAGGGGTTGCGAAGGTTGCGCCCCCTGGCTCAACACCTTGATGTTGGAAGGGGTTGGCCGATGGTGGCTTCCTTGGGGGTTGTACATCCACAAAAATCAGGGGGATTGTCCCACCTACATATGTACACCACAATCTGCCCCTCTAGATATGATTAGAAGTCTTGTAGATTTTTTATCGACATGACATTTCTTGCACTGTGAGGTTTGCGGTGCTGTTAGAGAGGTATGGTAGCAGTTCCAATTGGTGTAGATTGGCTGGATTGCTGGGGGGATGAGGGAATCTTAAGGCCTGGAACGTGGCCACGGATGCAGGTCATCGACTGATTCACTGCTTGTAGAAATGCATCCACTCTAAGCTATAAGAGTGGTGTGCTCAGGTGTGCTTGCTTGCTTATAGACCCGTGATTTATGATTGTCTCCTGGAAGCTATAGATAGAATTTATTTCATATTAGTGACTGAGTGTTAGCCGTAGTAGCACAAGGTTGTAGTAGTGGAACGGCCGTTATATGTAATTGCAGGTCATGCTAGGGAAGATATATATTTTTAGATGGACTTGCATCTTTCAACCACTTCAGACAAATTTGCTGCCATACTACTAGAGGACCGTTAGACCAACATGAATTATAGCACCCCATACTAGTATTACAAAGAAGAGAGTTTCGCTCCACAGTTGAACTGTTTTATCTTGATCTTCGTGTTCAGTTACTCTTGGTGATGCAGCATACACATCAAGACGCCACCATGCAGATGTTCTGACATCACATATAATGCTCCTTTTTTTTTTTTTTTTTTTTTTTTTTTTTTTTTTTTTTTAACAATAAGTGTGTACTATTTACATTAGGGTTTATATTACATGAATGGGCAATCTTTTTGCTCAAACCCAAATGTCCAATGTGCGCGTTCTATGGATTTCCTTGTCCGATCATGATATACCACAGTAGAGGACTATGCCAAGCAACAACTGCCCACCTTTTCAGCTCCCAGGGTAAAATTGCCCAGAAAAGCTCTGATCCCAAAAGAAACCCCCTTAAGTCAAATCCTTCTGGTGTCGCACAAGCTCAGAAACACAGAATTCCATTGTCACCCGGATCTAGGCCCCGTTGCCTGGGTTATCGGCACATTCCTTGCCAGGCATGGAATGAATAACCAAGAATGGATGTCGGACAGGGATGATCAACGTCATTTTGGAAATTAGCGATCTCGTGTATTGGATCAGAGGTCCCGCGGATGACCCTGGATGCTTTCATCCCTTCGCCCCTGTCCTCCCTTTCATGGCTATATTAGGCTCGCTCATTATGAGGTATTATGCCAGAAGCATTCTAGCTACTTCAGAGACTTGATGCATACGGAGTGCTTTTAGAAGAGAGACTTCCGCTTTGGGGCTTCAGACCTTGACTTCAGACATTGTAATTAGTCTCGTTAGTGGAGGTGAACGAACAATCAGTCTGGTCGCCTGGGTTTCCAAGACTTGCTAGGGATGATGTTCCTGATGAGTAGATGGAATTGCGCACACATGGATCTATCTACCAATTGAGCCAACTTTCTGAGCCAGTATTAGAGAGATTCTGGTCTTACCAAGTTCAATGATTCTACTAGAGTGAGTCTTGTGTAGCGCTTCGTTTGATGTAACTGCTCCTATCAACTTTGTTCAACGATGGAAATATTCAAAAGGGCACTTCTCAAGGGATCAGTCGCAGTAGATAGTTAAGCCATTCACTGACCACAGAGTACTCCAGCATCTTTTCAGACCGAACAACTGAATTTATGCATGATATTATGCATGATATGGTAATCAGACTCTGTGCTTGTATTGGTTCACGTGATCGCCACTCAAGATTCTATGCTATCTGCAAGCCTTGCTACGAAGAATATAGTTAGATAAACAGCTGCTTTGTCAATCACACATCAATTAACTAACTATATTCTTTTATGGAGCTGCAGACTAACGTAACTCCCGGCCGCACCGGCCACCTGCCCGCGCCGGCCACCCAGTACACCGCCCAACGCGTTTCTACATGCAACCACTTTTTCTATCCGAGGCAGTGAATCAGCAATGAGTAGTAACATAACTACAATGATACTAGGGCGGTGTGGTAGGGGTGGCCGGCGCGGGCGGGTGGCCGGTGCGGCCGGGAGTTACGTTAACTCGTTTTTGACTGTCATCATAGCACATCAATCTGGAATCATCTACAAGTCACAATCAAGCCATCTTCAGACTGATATGTGGGCTATCTTTTCCTGATCGGGAAACCCACTTCCCTCTACCCGATCGGGGAATACACCCTACAGCTTCAGCCTGCATGCATCGTTTCATGCGTCGAATCAGTAATACTAGACAACACATATATTCTATATCCGTATCTATCCCAACGCCGACCTCTGAGAAGCACTAAATAATCAATCATTCAAGCAGAAGCACAATGTCCACCATCCACTCTCAAATCCGTACCCGTCATAAACCCACTGCCATCAGCAAGCATATATACTGTCGGTGCCTTGAAGTCTTCTGGGACACCAAGACGGCCTAGTAGCGCACCACGCATCCAGGTCTCCTCGACTTCGGGCTTCTCTTGAAGCAGGGCATCGGTCATTGCCGTGCGGATGTACTGGTTGCATAATTAGAATCGCGTGTATTATAACAGTGAGCATGATACATACACCTGCGGATAGAGTGTTCACACGGATGCCGTACTGACCCCATTCCTGCGCCACCGAGCGGCACATTTGGTGCACGGCGGCCTTGGAAGAGTTGTACGCGGTGCAAGTCAAGCCCTATCAAACACATTAGTTTAGATCAACAGACCAAATGGACCGAAAACGAACCCGATTAGCAATTTGGCCCGACATGGAAGCAATCATGACAATGCTGCCTGGGATGTTCTGCTCCTTGAAGATGCGGGCGCAGTGCTTCGCGGGAATAAATGTTCCGATCACGCTGGATAGTCAGTTGCTGTCGTACGTCTTGGAGCTTGGTATGGTCGCTCACTTCACATCCAACATCTTTTTCCACAGATCAACTGGGTATTCCAAGGCAGGAACCATTTGTTGAATACCAGCACAGGTCACTGCTCCGCGCATGGGCATACCTCGGCTCATTGCCTCGGCGGCAACTTGCTTAAGGATCTGCTCGGTCGACTGTTCATCGGTAATGTCGCACTTGATGTATGTGGCTTTCAGGCCGCGGGCAGCAGCCAACTTCTGCACGGAGGCCCACTCGTCTGCGCTGGGTTCGGGAAGGAGGTCAAGGCAGACGACATCGCCGCCAGCCTCGATGACGGCACCAGCAAGGACGATTCCAAGACCGCGGCCTCCACCAGTGATCACGATTGTGCGGTTACCGAGGGAGAAGAGGTCATTTGTACGACCGACGACGGAGGGTTGGGTGGACTCTGCAACTGCGGGAGTAGTGTGGTCAATGGCCACATCCGGGGTGGTGTTATCGATAGCAATTGAGGGAGACATGGTGAATTGATCTGATATTAAGGAACTGGAAACTTTGGAAATCTACTGGCAATGTGAGGTACTACGGCTGTTCAAATAACGTGGACGAGCAGATCATGGAAGCGCTTAACGACAACCCAACTAGGAAGATCCTGTCCGACCTGCTGTGCAGACACCTCATGCTTAATGCAACACTTCTCTCAGGATTACGCTTCAAACAGCTGCAGGCGTTGCTCGCATAGGTAACTACAACGGGGCTTAATACTTCCCTTGTGGGAATTTCGCGATAGTCGGCCTTGGAACCATGGCGCCGGCGGGTTGCCGGAGTCCAGCCGAGGTGGGCCCGGCAGAGGCGCGTAACGTTACCGCATCCGGCAACTGTATAGGCAAACGTACGATGCCCTATCCCGGTCCCCACCCGGTTCTCGTTTAGCGGGAAGGTCAAGTTTGGGGATACAAGTTGCCCATCTGCAGAGGGCTCTATATTGAATAGTTGTGCCAGGCTTCGCCAACTTGAAGTTGCTGGGGTCGAATTAGTATGGGTTCAGGCATGGCGTGGTTATATCAAAAGATGTGTCCATCTGATTGCGAATATAGTCGTCTAGCCTCGCAAGGAACCGACAGAACTCTAATCAGCAGCTACCATAGAAACTTCCCGGTCTGCGTGGTCCTCCACACCAACCCCGGTTTTGCCCTTCCGACCCCCGCAATCCGCAAAGCATGACGTCGGGCCGTCCATCGTCGCTTACATGCCCTATAAAAGTAGATGGAGCCCCTTAATGGCGCCAGCCCTAATCACTATGCCTGTCTTCATACGTGTCTCAAGAGTACGGAAACATGACTATTCTTGTTGGAAAGCCCTTGTCATGGGCTATTACTACCACTGCAGGAAGTGGGTTCCTGCTGTGCGTCTCCTGCATCCCTTTCACATTGCATGAGTTGACCCTTGCTTAGATTCGGCTATGATCAGGGTGTCATGTCTGGTCTGTTGACCGGGACGGCCTTTACTCAAACATTTCCGGAGATAGACACCACCGCCACGGGACATGGGAGTTCCTCGTTGCAGGGGACGGTGTAAGTTATTCATACGATGTGTATTGGGATGGGCTAGGTATAGCTGACGTGGTCAGCACTGCCATCTATGAGATCGGATGCTTCTTCGGGGCGATCATTGCCTTATTGATTGGTGAACGTATCGGTCGGCGGTGGTGCATCATAGCTGGCTGTATCATTCTTTCGATCGGAGCTGCATTGCAGTGCAGTGCGTATAGTATCCCTCACTTGATTGTGGGCCGGATTGTGGCTGGAGTTGGGAATGGTCTCAACACTAGTACTATTCGTACGTTGTGTTTGGAATATGAGATAGACGGACAAGGCTAACGAGGGCAGCGGTCTGGCATTCGGAGCTGAGCAAGGCAGCGAGTCGTGGAAAGGGGGTGAGTCGAGACAATAAGTTGATTTCTGATACCGTTCTAACAGCTGCAGCTTGCGATTGAGCTATGTATCAACATTTTTGGCGTGATGACGGCATACTGGGTTGGTGAGTATGCCATCTACTACATATGTTGAGCCAGGGCTGACGGTTAAAGCTTACGGAATGAGTTACGTGGTCAACGATGCGCAGTTCCGCTTTCCCATTGCCTTGCAGATTCTCTTTGCCGTAATCACCTTAGCAGGTATTATCGTGCTTCCCGAGTCCCCTCGCTGGGTATGGCCGTTCCTTCCTTGCTGCGTATGTAAGTATTACTAATGATAACGATGATAGCTTATTGCCCATGGACGACACGACGAAGCACGACATGTCATCTGGGCCGTCCAGCCCAACGCCCGTCTCATTGACGAGGACGACGCTGCAGTGACCGCAGACGTCACGGAAATAACCACCGCTATCGCTGAGGAGCGAGAGGCTACGCAAGAGGGGTCATTCAAGCTGGTCTTCACCAACGGCCACCAGAAGTTCTTCTATCGGACGCTGCTGGGAATGGGTGGGCAGATGATGCAGCAGCTGTCGGGTGTCAATTTGATTACATACGTGGGTGCCTTGGCTTTGAGAACAACGGACTCGGTGTCTGACTTGAGCAGTACAACACGGTTATCTTCGAGGATTCAGTTGGCATGAGCCATAACCTGGCGTTATTGATGGCTGGGTTCAACGGCGTGGCGTACTTTGCTTCGACATTTGTTCCTATCTGGGCTATTGATCGGTAAGTTCCATACATGTCATGGTGTACTGTGGTCGGTGGCTGACAAGATAGGCTGGGTCGTCGGAAACTGATGCTCTTCGCGGCGGCCGGGCAATGCGCATGCATGGCGATCCTGGCGGGCACAGTATATGACGGTAGCCATGCATCTGGTATTGTCGCCACGGTCATGCTGTTTCTGTTCAACTTCTTCTTCGGTGTGGGATTGCTGGCCATTCCCTGGTTGTGTATGTTGACCACCTTTTGGGCGGTTGTGGACCTGGCTAATGATAGTAGTGCCCGCCGAATATGCTCCGCTGTCTATCCGATCTCAAGCTGCGGCTCTCGCCACTGCTACGAACTGTACGTCCTACAAATTCCATACGGAAATAACGAACGCTAATAATTTCAGGGATCTTTACCTTCCTGGTGGTGGAAATCACCCCAGTCAGTATCAAGAGCATCGGCTATCGCACGTATATCTATTTTGCCGGTAAGTCCGTTCTCTCTCCGTTTAGCGATAGGAGCTGACATCACAGTGTTCAATTTCTTATTCCTCCCCTTGATCTATTTCTTTTACCCGGAGACACGGAACCTTACCCTGGAACAAGTGGATCGGCTATTTACCGGGGAAAAGGTCCAGCTGCACTGGCACGCGTCAATGGGCGCCGTTGGGGATGCCAGCGAGCGAGTGGACGAGAAGACAGGCAAGGAGACTGTAGAGCATGTAGAGTAGACGTATACTGTGTATGAGCTAGATGTTCATGACTGATTGCAAATGATTACTATCTTGAACAACATCTCTGAACATTCTTTTACCGGCTAAATGCAATGTCTGGGGAAATCCCCGACCTTCCCCACATTCTCCCCGGCGGGTATCATTTCCCGATCAGGCAATTTTTCTCTCTTCTTCCCCCATCATTCCCCGCGATCCCACATCGTATCCCATCAAACTTCCCTCTTTACAATTCCTCATCATACACGAATGACAGGGAATTATGGATGAAGCATCCCAACCTATCGAACTACAAACCATGCCTTGCGCCGATTCTCGTCATCTCCCGCGAAAACGGACCCGCACGGGTTGCGTGAACTGCAGCCGGCGAAGGCGGAAATGTAAGCAGCAAGCAAACAATGGAGCTTGATAGCCACAACAACTAGTTACCTATCTGGTTAGATATCACTGCTCATTGCTGGCTTATTCAGGTGACGAAGCAAAGCCAACGTGCACGGGCTGCAAGCGGCGCGGCGACAAGTGCCAATGGCGCATGCTAGGGTCCTTCCGCGAGGCCAACATCAAGGTTCTGGAGCCGGGGCATCCGTCCATGAATCAGACGGCCAGGGGGACTAGGAAACAGAGTAAATTTAAGGTTCGTTTTAGCTTTTTGATTATGGGGTGAGTGTTGGCTTATGGTGTTGCTTGGTAGATTCTGAATGTTGTTCCTTCTCCTTCTCGAGCTGCTGGAAAGGAACGGCAGCTGAGTCCGCCAGTTGATGAGGGGAGAGGGTCATCGCCTTCGGCACGATCGCTTCCTGGTAATGGTGAGGGTGAGAGTGAAGTGGTGCGGCGGGATGGTCTGGAAAATGTGTCCGGAGCAGCTCCGGATGCTCATCCAACGGTGCTTAGTCCAGGTTCTAATCAGGCTGTGTCGCCTCTTTCGCATCACAGTTTTCATGCTCAGGAGATTAATATTGAGAATGGCCATTCGCCTCATCAGGCCAATGAATTGCCTCATCCTTACCCGGATGAAGCGCCTCACCAGCCGTACATCCATTCTAGTCCTGAGTTTGTTGTTAATGAGCTCACTGCTCTGCGCAACCTCTCCAATAACACGGGGCACTTTCCTGGGCCTGAAGTCTACCAGTCTATGACATCGCCATTGTTCGATCATAGCGTCTTTTCTGATCCGGCAAATCTGACAAATGATGTTTTCGTTCCGGGCTCAGCCTACGAAGCCCTTCATACCACGCTGCGTAATCGACAGCTGTGGACTGCTCGGACAGAAATCCCCAGTCGCGCAAGCACCCCGGCATCAGTGCTTGGATATGACGGACCCACGCCGAACACCTCACGTATACAGAGAAGCAGACGAGCTCAGTCCAGACCAGGACGGGACTTTGAACTGACACCCGAGCGCGAGAACATACTCTGGCAGAACTACCTGAACGAAATTTGTCTTTGGGTAAGTGATCCAGACACCCCACCGAACTAATACTAATCCTGCAGCTGGACATGTTCGACAACCACCGACACTTCGCATCGACCTTCCCTCAGATGGCCAAATCGGCGCCACATCTGCGATATTCCATCCTTGCCCTGTCAGCACGACAGATGGAGCGACAGCAGAACAAGAAGTCGCAATCAGAAAGTCTCTTCTTATACCAAGAGGCCATCCATCAACTTCTCCCGGAGCTAGAGCAGAAGACGACCCCTGTCATCGCGTCATGCGTCATTTTATGTGTCCTCGAGATGCTCAGCTGTATGTACCCCTCTCTTCCCCTCCGACAGTCCCCACCCACTGACAGGTCTAGGCAACCCCAAAGAGTGGCGCCGTCACCTCGATGGATGCGCCTACCTTATCCAAGCCGCGGAAATTAACGGCTTCTCGGGTAAAGAAGAGCAAGCGCTATTCTGGTGCTTCGCGCGAATGGGTTAGTTGCATGTAGTCTACCTACTTTATCCCTGTTCCTGGTGTCTCCCCCCACACATCCCCTCAGAGGTTAAGACGCTAATGCATGACATACTGTTACAGATGTCTGCGGAGGCCTCATCTCCGAAGAAGAGACCATTATCCCGATCAACCACTGGATTCCGCGCGACATGACCCCCACGGAAGCATCCCAGCTCTTCCTCGCCTCAAACATGACCACCTTTGACACGTACGCCAATTACACCGTCTTCCTGTGTGCTCAGACATTAGGGGTGCTCTTCGGCGGTAACAGCCAGTTACCAGCGTCCTGCATGTCATGTCACTATCTCTCTAGTCCCAGGGAGGGCGAATCGTATGTGCAGCGGTGGCAGCGTCTGTTTGATGGTGTGGAGCAGTGGTACGAGAACCGGCCGAGTCAGATGAAGCCGATTTTTGTCCTGACAGCGGGAGGGAAGACACTGGGGAGGGGCGATGGGGAAAGACCGTTTCCGACGGTGCTCTATGGGAACGGGGCTGCTAGTATGTTGCTTATCCAATTTCCTAATTTCCTATTTAGGAAATTGTGGATGTATCCGTAGGCAGATGGCATGGATGTGTGTACTGACTTGTGGATTCCAGTTTCAGGAAACCAGCTTTACCATGCCTGTGCATTGCTTTTGCTGCAACGAAAACCAAAGACGGTATCCCTGCCTCGGCGACCGGTGAGTCAAATTTTCTTTGTCTGTTTCATAGTGATGATTACATCCGACGGATCGGATAATTCTTTCCACTTGGGCATCTGATTATCCTCGGATATTTTTACTTACTATTACTGATACTAACAATGAGGTCTAGAAATCGGTGTTGTGGCACGCGCGGCAAATCTGCGCTATTTCCGCATCGAATACACACCAGTAAGTTGGCCCTTACTTCACGATATACTTGCTCTACGCAGTATGTCTTAAAGTTTGAGAATAAAGTTAATGGATGGGAAATAGTGGCTGCTGGACCAATGCCCTACAGCCGCTGTGGCTGGCTGGTAAAGTCATGTCGCATCATTCGGAACATACCGCCATAATTGAGACTTTGACGCGAATTGAGCGCGAGACGGGTGGGCGACAGCCTGGCGAGTGGAAGACCTAAAGGAGTTTTGGGGAGATGAGGACGAGGATGTGGATGTGGATATGGATGGGGGGATGGATCTGGACCTGCGGAGTGAGAGGGCGAGAGGGAGCATCGGAAGTATTCCTTCGAGTCGGTCGTGAGATGAGAGATTTCCACGATGTGCCCTGAGCAGAGCAGAGCAGACGCAGAGCACAATAGCGTAGCTCAATGCAGGCACGGGTCGGACGGGAGGAGCTTTTGGGGTTTGATGGATATCATTGGATTGATTGGGATGATCGAGATCGGGATCCACCAGGCCGGCAATGAGCGGGATGATGATCTTACCGAGACATAAATCGATGAATAGACATGAAATAGATAGTCTCTAGTCACACTGTAAATCTGAGAAGCAAACGTCAAGAAGACATAATGTGATCTTCACCGTAAACCAACATGCTCGGCTACTATCATCAACCTTCGTCAAAAGTCAAACAGTAGACAGTCAAACCTAGACAGCAAGGACGATCCCCCAATAATCAAGGCAGGCAACCAAGCCAGTGGATCTCAGCTTGCAGGATTCCAGTCAGCTTCAGCTCCTGCCCCATCTGTGCACTATTATAGGTCCAAACCACCGACTCCTCTCCAGCCGCAGCGGATCTCGCATCCTCCCAAGCACAGGTTCTGGTTCGCGCGCGCGTCCCGATCCGCTTCCACCATTCAACCATCCACCCAGCTAGCAAATCTCCACCGTTCATTCCATTTCTCCATTTTCCAGGAAATGATCATTATCATACAGCCAAACACCCCGCTTCCCAAAAACTCACAAAAAACAATACCACCAAAGAAAGTAAATGAATAACAAAAAACATTGAATTAAATCAAGATTCAGCGGCTACCCTCCTTAACACAACCTCCAACCCTAGCACCTCCCTCCCCATCTCCCTCAACCCAGCCCCATTATCCTCCCGATCAAACCACAACCTCCAAACCCCCTCGTCATCCACTCCGGGAAACCTTACTGCCAACCACCCCTCCCACCCCTCCAGCGTCATCCGCGATTCGTCCCTCGTCCAGTCAAAGGGCCCACACACCTGGCCCTCGCTCTCGGCCCGCCCACCCCAGCACACCTCGTGCGTGGTGACGTCCAGGAAGACCCAGCGTAATGTGGGCGGTGTCTCGCCTGTGATGGTTACCAGGCCAGCTGTGTTCTCGGGTGGGAATTGTGGGTGTGTAAAAAAGCCCCCATTGAAGGGGGTCATGGTGTTGGGGTTGGGGTTTTTGGTTATGTAGAGCTGTTTTCCGGTTAGATCTTTTTTTGGTTGTTTCAATGCAGGTACAGATTAAGTCTGGGTAATGAAGTGGGTTTTCTAGGGTTGGAGCTAGAAAATGGGGGAGACAGGGATGGGATATGTAGATGTGGTATGATGGTTGCATGATGAGAAACATACTACCATCTCTGGGATGTGCATAAACCCGCAGTAGGGATACCCAGGATGGTAGTAGATAGATAGTACGGGTGTGAAAAGATAGAAGGGAAGGAACTTACTCGGTTCTCAGGACCCACATACACCATTGCATTATGAATCTGTTCGCGCTGTTCCGTCGTACCCTGATTCACCGAGCAGTTCACTAACAAATGACAGCGTTGTTTCCGACTGGATTCCTTCCGATTATCTTCGCTATCGCGCATGTGTTGACTTGCTTGGTTCACACCGATCATGGTTGGGAGCATGGTGGCCATCATGGCGATTCCGAGGACCATGTTGACTGACTGACTGACAAGTGAATTATGGAGCTTGAGTAGGTGCCTAGCTAGCTAGCCAGGATGGACGACAAGGATCGGAGAGAAAATAATGCAAGCGAGATGGATAAGGACGGAAATAATCAGAAGGAAGAGGAGAAAAAAAGTCAGATCGGCGCATTAAGTAGGGTGGATGGGGTGGAGTCGATGCAACTTGGTCGGAACTAATCGCTAGACCTGCAGATGGAGGAAAGTTAATTTAGCTTTGCAAATGGGGTGATTTATAAAGTAGTTTAGGCGCAATCGGGGGCTTTAGTTGTGTCTGATATTTACATGGATTCTCCTTCTTCTTCTTCGTCCGATTCTTCGTCCGAGTCTTCGTCCGAGTCTTCGTCCGATTCTTCTTCCTATTCTTCGTCTTGGTCTAGGTATTCGGAGTCCGAGTCTAAGTCGCTGTCCTCGACATACTTCTACTCGCACTTTTCCCTCGCGGATTCCTTTTTGAATTCTCATCCTCATCCTCATCCTCGTCCTCACTTCTCTACCACCGTCAAGGAGAAAGACCAAGAACAAGAACAAGTCAAATCCACCTACCAACCTCCTCCAATTCCATCCACTGAAGACACAATGGCCGACTCTTCCTCCCCAGGGTACGTCTCCCTCTTACACCCTTCCCATTATCCCCAATCCCAATCTACCCTCATCCATCCACATCCCAGCATACCTACGTAGTAACATCCTTGTTTCTCCAGCCCTACTTCCACTCCCACTACCAATCCCTCATCCACAACTACCCCAAAACCACCCTCCAAGCCCCCATCCCCTACTCCCCCAACTGCATCTGCTCGCGCAGCAGCATTTACTCCCAAACCTCCTTCTCCCACCCCAACCCCAACTAACATTCCCCTCCCAACCAGCAACACCCCCACCGGCAACCGCCGCAACAACCGCGCCGAAGAAGAAGCCGCCAGCGCCGCCAGCGCCATCCTCCCCAACGAAGGCATGAAGGCCCCCGGCTTGACGGCCAACAAGGACGAGAAAGCCAACCTGAAGATCAGCATTCACTTGAACTTGCATGCCAAGGTGAAGTTGGATCTGGATGCGCAGTTGTATGGTGATATTGTTATTGGGTTGTTGTAACCTTGTTATCTTGGACTGTATGGGGGATGAGGTGAGGGGGTGTGTGTATGTAAGGGTATCTTATGGATGAAAGTATGAATGAATGGACTGAAATGGGTTTATGATTGGATTGAGATCTTCGAACTGTACTCTTTGTGGTGGGAGGTTGTAAAGAACTTGTAGATGGTGTAAATATTTAAACATGATGGCGGTAATGATGTCAAACATTGCTATCACTAGTAATGATCGTGTCTAGCAGTTATAATGCCAAGTATTGGTTTAAACGCATTGGAATCGACTCGGGTGTCGCTGAAAAGTAACGGGAACAATATAAACATGCAAGATACACACGGTACCTGCTAAGTAACAGCATTAGTATATTCCCTCAACACCCCCCTCATAACATGCACCGGCGCCGGCCTCCCCGTAAACAGCTCATATTGCGCAATGCCCTGCTCCAACAACACCACCAGCCCATCAACCACGACCCAGCCCATACTCGATCGTTCATTCATAGCCATTCTCAGCTTCGTTTGTGGCATTCCATATGCGACCTGTCCAATTAGCACTTCTTCAGATACTCCGGGTATATCACACACATACATCGATAAAAACACCTCCAGTCGTACTCCTCAACCACTGCTCCGATACCTCCATCGTAACAGGAGCCTGTAACTGTCCACCGGCTGGCGCAGGCAAGCACGCCACGATAATTGTCGGTTGACGGAACCCCGCCGGCCAGGGGTCATTGCCTGACCGCAGAACCTCAATCTGCAAACTGGTGTCCTTCTTCTCAGCCCACCGAGTATAGTACCCAGCTAGTTTCTGCGCATTGGAGCTAGTCCGATTATAGATGCACATCTGACGAACGCCGATCTGGTAGCATGCGAAGATAGCGGCGCGGGCCATACCGCCTGCGCCTATTATCAAGGCAGTTGTGCCATGTCGAATGGCATTAGCGGGAGAGAGATGCTTGTAAATGCAGTCGCGGATCCCGAGGTAATCTGTATTGTATCCTTTAAGAATTTTGGAAGAGGGATTGTTGGACCGCTGAATGACGACTGTGTTGACGGCGTGGATGTCCTGGGCATCTGGACTGACTTCATCCAGTAGGGTGAGGACGTCCGTTTTGTAGGGTAGTGTTACAGCCACTCCGCCGTGTTCAGTGCTGTTTAGGAGTTGGTGGATATCGGAAAATCGATCGCTGCATAATATGTTGTAAGTGTGCGGTAAGCCGCAGGCAGTGTAGGCTGCGTTGTGCATTGCTGGTGATAGACTGTTTTGGACTCTTTGGCCAAAAACGGTGAATGTTTGTTTTGTGAGTAGGTAGCATGAGGTAAGTGCTTGTTGGGCTGATGCGAGTGTGACTCCTATGTCACCTTCTGTAGGAGATGAGAGTATCACTGGTGAGAGAATAGGATTTAAACATATAGATGCTCGGCCGAGTGGCCCAGTATGGTATGCGATTACGGGGATGTCGGTTGTCTCACCCAGCCGTTGTTGTAAATACAGGTTGGTGAGATCGCCAGGGAAGTTGGGCTCAGAAGTAATGCGAAAAGCGTCAAAGCCAATCTCATCTATCTTTTCCAGGAGAGAGCGAACTTCAGGAAAGATACTCTGGTTTCCCGTCATAGAGGTTGACTGATAGGTGGCAATGATCTTTGTGTGACCTTTGGCCAGCTTTAATCGGCTAAAGTTGGGGCTGTCAATAGGACACGCCACAACATCGGGCGCCAGTCGAAAAAGCATCTCTAAGAGCTCGCAGCATCTAGGATATGACTGCTGAGGAACCTCAATGGAGATTGGAACCCGGGTATGTTTCCGGATTGTCGCCATATGCTTGGCAATCCTTTCCATAAATCGACCATCATCAACATCAGCTGCACCCCCGTCAATCACAAGATTAACCGCGTCAGTACCACTCTCCAGAAGTCCCAAGTCCGGATCGTCTTCCAACCAGGTCAACGGCACCTGCAGCGCATATGTATGAGATGGTGAAAACGGGTCCGAGGAGTAGAGCACATGAAAAGCGCGCCCGAAGACCTGATGTAAAAACCTCAAGAACACTCTCTCAGCCTCCTTGAGTTTGATATACGCCGGGAGTGGGCGACCAGCATAGTCAGTCACCTTCTCTTGTGTGTGATTGAAGAAGTCAAAGCTGGAGCATGACTGGAAAAACTCATTGCCTGCTTCAAAGATACGGTTGAACTTGTCAGGGCTGGTGGTCATGATGAACTGCTGAAGATCCACCCGGTCGCGTCTGACATACACCACAG